GTCTTTCCAGCTTAAAGGGACCTACAGCTGCACAGCCTCTAATAGCCAGGGCAGCGTCACCAAACATTTCACAGTCGAGGAAACTAAAGGTTAGATGCTCTCCACGTTCATAAGATTCCTTGTAATGTTTTGCTCTGTTATTGTCTGTCATTTTAATGCTGTTGTCTTCCATTAGGTAGTCATCCTGGGACCACTGCTGGGATTTTAATTGCTCTTTTCTTTGTTGTAATCGTTATTTTGGGATGTGTGGTTTATCAAAAACAAAAAAACTCTTCTGCAGAAGGTTTGAACAGATGATGTCATGATGTCAGAATGAGAATGTAACAAAAGTTCCCATCTTCCACAGGGACTCAAACCACCCTCATAGCCATACTGGTAATAGGTTTGTTCGTGGGAGTCCTGACATCCGTTGCTGGTCTACTTCTTGTGAAACCTGATGGGACATTTTCCTGCAACAAAGGCAACTATCAACCTACCTCACCAGGAATTATATGAAGCCCGCTGATATAATTTAGCATGGCTTTTACTATGAAAACAGCATTATTTTTTCATGCTTGGAGAAATATATTCTATACAACATGGTTGGGACTTTGCTGTTCTGCATTCTGGGTTGGTCCTAATCTGCTTGGTTTGGGCTTCTGTCTTTAAAGCTTCACTAATCAAAGCTGAATTAGCATGCAGTTTATTTACTGAATGAGAGCCTTTAAAGCCGTCAGGCCTTATTTAAAAAGCATGACTGGCCTACTTTTAACAGACGAATAGAGTGATTATTTTTCCTTCCTAACCTTTGGACAGCTTCTCTGCTCGGCCTTCTGTTTCAGTTTCAATTCGAAACAGCAGATGCTTCATCTGAACAGTGGTCTCTATTTTAAAATAGGTTAAGTTGTCATTACCTCAACAAAATCTATGTCTGATTCATTTGCACATGTGCAAGCTGGGTACTGAAGTGCATATAAGCACACCATTCAAATCAGTGTTGAACGCAAAGACACTAACACCAAGCTCTGCTGCTGTGTATGTGTGTGTTTTTTTTTTGTTCTAATTTGTTGGTCAAATTTGCATGTTTGCTCTATGATTTGGTTCCAGCAGCTCTGAACAACCCACAATATGCTACCAGCCCAAAAATAAATAGAGGAAAAAGAAGTTAGCAGCTTAAAAAATAACTTGTGACGATCATTAACTATATGGTACATTAATGAAGCCATAGTTACCACAGACAGTGGGTCTGTCATTGTGTTGTGTATTTTGTGTGTTTTTTTAGTCATGATCCCAAGTTTTAAGAATACTTGCGTGATTTTTCTGACTTAAAAAGAAAGCCATTCTGTTTTTTTATTTGAAAATGTAGTTCATTTCAGCTCCTCTGCAATGCCTCGACCTTTGAGTCCCAGACACTTACATCCAACCTGTTTGACCAACGCGGCTGTCTGTGCTGGGAAATGTTTTTCTGTCAGTTGCTCTGAGGAGCATGTGTCTTATATCTATCTGTACATATTCAAGTCCCAACAAGAGTTAGGAGAAAGAAATCCCTTTTCATAGAAAATAAGACTAAGCACAAAGTCAAAAAAATGTTGAGAGATTAGGTTTTTAACTGAATGCTTTCTGGTAGAATTGTTTTGTAATTCAGGGAATCTACAGCTGTGTGTATAAGTCCATTTTTTCTACACGACACCGGCCCTCTCCTCTCTTTTGTTTTCTATATAGAATGCTCTGTAGGTACCCCTAACCACTAACTTATGGTACCAACCTAATGCCCACTCAGGGTTGAGCTGTTAGGCCTACATGATCTGTGCAACAGTGTCGACGGCCCAGACTGAGAACGGTTTTAAAAAGGGTTCGTCTTACCTCCAGAGCTTTACCTCTGTTCTGCACTCATCTGCTGCTCACTTGGTGGGTGTTAAAGTACTTTCTGTTCAGAGGAGCAGGAGGTAATTCTCAATAAAGTTGGCCAAGCTAACTGGTACTGAGAGCAGGACGAAAAGAAAAGCGCATTTTCACCATTGAAAACAACATCTTCAACCTCAAAATGTCCTCATTGTTCATCAGTGTGTTTTTTCTTTTTTTTATACAATGCATTACTGTTGCGTCAGACTGTTTATTTTGTTACTATTTGATCAGCCAGGTTGCTCTGCTAGTTTTGCGGCTGCCTGATGTGTCTTGCTACTAAGCTCTGCTAGTGTAATCTTAAACTGAAAAAAATGAGGGGCGCATTATCACTTTAGTACAGCAACCTTGAAAATATCAAATGTATGTGCAGAAGTAATGGTTTGACGGAAAGGTTAGCCATTCTGATCCAACTTCTGGTGTACCCACGATCCGGAAACATTTAGGCAGCACACCGCTCGCACTGATGCTCATCTGAGTTTCGGTTAAGTTTTGCATAAAAGTCTGCAGTGTACCCTGCAGCGCCAGTTTTAGATTTTAGATTAGTGTGAGAATTCCTGCTTATCCTAACAGAAGAAGTTCTAGCCCCTGCCTAGAACAGGTCAGGTACAGCAGGTCAGGTACTGACGCAACAGCTAACAAAAATGATATTTTTTAAATTGTATTTTTTCATTGTTTCTCTATGACATAACTTTATAATAAAAAATACACCAAAGAATGAATCAAATGAATTGATTTTTATGTCCTGTGCAATCATGTTGCTCTGGTACGGCTCATGAATGTTTAAATAATTTTGTACTGAGTAGATTCGACATGTTGTGATATACTTGCTTTTTTTTTGGTCATAAACATTTTGTTTCATTAATTGATAATGGATGTGGTTTAAAAATGATTGTGTAAATTGAGCCTAATTGGAAATTAAATTAAAATTAAATTGTGGTGGGTTGTTTTAAAAGGATATTCATTTGAAAATATAATAGTATTGTGTTCGGTCAGCTTCTGTCTTAGTGACCTCCTTATGCAGAATACTGATTGAGGCAAAGTCAAACCAGTGTCTGTTTCCTTTCTGCTTTTTGTCGAGGCCTTGGACCTCTGCCTCTTTCAGGCTGTCTTACGTTATACAGTGCTGGGCTGCCATACTAATTAGCTCCTCTCAAAGTGAATGTAAAGATCACTATCTGTTATCCTGCCGACGGTTGGCAATAGAAATCTTTTTTCTTTTTTGGAAACTCTGCCCTGTGTATTCTGTCCTTGTCTTTCCCACCGAATATTTAACCCAAAAGTAGGCCAACTGTTTGTTTATGCTTTGCCTGCGTTGCCATAACAACCTGGCCTGGGGCAAACTGCACAATTAGTCAGAGTTAAAAATTAAACGGTTTCTCGATAGACATATTTCTACTGAGATCAAGTTGAGACATATTTAAAGCTGCGGATGAAGTGAGCGTGTCATGTAATCAGTGCATTGAAACTACACAGTTGTCCTTTCCGTAAATACACCAAAAGGCATCTGATTACTTTCTCTCCAGCAGTGCAGTTGCTGCTAGAGCGGATACGCTGTGTAGCATTCTGGTCACAGTGTGAGCCTTGCAAGCTACATGCTACACAAGACCAACACTCCTGCCTGCTGGGATTTCACAGAGCATGGAGGCCAGAAGCAGTAGGACACAAGCATGCAATAGCGACTGAAAACAAGCTTCCCTGTGCAGCCACTAACACATTTTGCACACACACAAAAAAGATTAAGTCAGTCCGACTCTACAATGTCCACACCTAAGGTTGGAATGTAGCTAATGTGGATCAGATTAAAGGTTTATGTGAAGTTTAATTTCTATCTTGATATTAGAGGAGGTGGAAATGGAGCATAGAGAAGAGTGGGGTGTGAATAGTTGTTTATTAGAAATGTATTTTATTGTAAATTCCAAATGACCCTATTAGACTTTTTTTTTTCTAAAGATCAGTGTTATACAAAGTCGTGGGTTGTGTTCTACAGGCTCCTGCCACCTGTTAAATTTCCCTCTTTTCCCCTTTACCCCCTCCCACCCCCAAAGTCAGCTGGGAGGGAACTTTGCTTTGTTCCAACATAGTTCCCTGCAGAGTTGCCGAGGTTGTTGAAGTTGGAATTTTCAGCCTCTCGACGGCTCTGGAAAGAAAATAACATGGGAAACAACTTTGTGACGTGGATTCTCATTTTTTACATGTTTCACTCAGGTAAGATGCAGAAGTCTGAATGTTTGTTTGTCACTTTATGGATTGTAGATGATGTTTGGCACAGTAATGATGTGTGGGAAGATGTGTAGTGGTGTGGTGATAAATGAAAACAACACAAGGACACAGGCAAGCAGTAGATTGGGACTGATCATTGATTAAATGTCAGTGCAACAATTTCAGGGTGATCCATACAGAATTACAGTAATTACATTTAGCAGATTAGATAACCTAAAAGGCTACTTTAAAAAAAAATCCAAATGATTTAAGTGTGATGGGAATGCACATTTTTCTTTATAAGTGGTGGTGCCATTTTGCATTTATGGTAATGTAGCCTGGGTGTGTTGTAATGGGTTACACAACAGGTGCTGCCTTTATGTGGTGGATATGAAAGTGAAAGGGGTTGGGAATGCTCCTCTGATCATGATGTCGATGATGGCTCCTGCTGTGCCTCAGTGTCAGGTGAGGGCTGCTCCCTGATCCTCAAGCCCTCCAGGGTTGTGGTTGGCTTCGGAGAGGCGGTGTCAGTCAGCTGTGAAGCTGCCCGCCCTGTTCGCGTCCTGGGCTGGGAGTCAGCCATCAGCGCCACACACACACAAGAGGACCAGTCTGTCCAATGGAAAGTTGACAGTCTTATAGACTGGATAGAAGAGCCTATCTGCTACGGGGTGTTTCACACAGCTCCCAGGCAGTGTGAGGAGAAACTCAATCTTGTCCTATACAGTAAGTCAGCTTTAGACTAACACCAGCTTTTTTAACGAATTGCTTACATCAATGTGCAGGGCCGACCTGATCTCTGTTTGTTAACCCTGTAGAAACTCCAGACAGTGTGTCCATCACCCAGGTGAACCACACCGGTCCCATGGTGGAAGGAAAAGAGTACACGCTACTCTGTGAGGTTCAGAATATTGCTCCTGTCCAATATCTCACCTTGAGGTGGTACAGGGGGCAGACTGAAGTTTATAAGCACTCCTTCTCTGACCTCACATCCTCCTCACCTGTCCAAGTGTCTTCCACTCTTGTCATCACGCCAACCAAAGCAGAGAACGGAGCGGTGTATAAGTGTGTGGCCGAGCTGGAGCTTGGACCAGAGGGACCACAGCCACCACCTACCGTGTCTTCAGATTCACTCACATCTTCTGTGTATTGTGAGCTTTGAAACTATTCCTAGACTAAAATCAATTTCTGATCATTTTCACACAATGAAAATTCATGCTTGTGATTTTTTGTCTCTCTCTAGTTCCCCCAATATTCCTCAGTCCCGACACAGAGATTTTGGATTGGACACTGGGCGCTGAAATCACTTTAAACTGCAGTGCCACAGGAAACCCCGCTCCGATTTACAGCTGGGAATCTTCACAACCCATTCAGGATAAGATGGAGGGTGAAGAGATCGTGACCACCTCCTCACTGCTCCCAGGGACCTACACCTGCACTGCTTCTAATACACTTGAAAAGAAAAGCAAGCAGTTCATTGTCAAAGCAAAGACCAAAGGTGAAGGCTCTGAAATCTGAAGAGCTGCGTGTCCCAGTCGTCTCCATTCTCTGCATCCTAAACTTTACCCTTTTGCTTTTGCTTAGGTGTTTGAGACACGCTACCTTGAGACTGATCAGATGACGTCACCTGATACCTTGAGAAAATTTCTCCAAGCAGATTTAGCTTTTGAGAGGGAAATTACTTCCATGATTCAGTGAATTTTTATGTGGAGCCTGTTATCATCCAGAGTAGATCTAATAGAGAAAAAGACCTGAAAATACCATGTTTGGTGACAGCCGCTTTGTTTAGGATATAGTTGACTTGTTATGCTTTCAATGTGATATTCTTTGTCTAATTTATATTTTCTTTTTGTTAGACTTAGTTTCCCACTAATGAAATCAAACCGCATAACATCACAAAGATGTAGCTCATCGTGATAATCTGGCTTGTCATCACTGTAAATATGAGTAGTTTATTCATTTTATTCTCTTTATCAATAAAATTTGAATGGGAAAAAAGAAACATATTTATAACCAATAATATGTGTCCTTCATACGATGTATAAGTAACTTTTTCATGGAAAGGCAAGTTTGTTAGTGCAGCACATTTTGTGTACAAGATAATTCTAAATGCTTTACAAAGAATTTAAAAACAGAAAGACATAGAAAGAAAATGTAACAATAAAAGAAATTACATTGATAAAAAGTGAAGGGTGCAGATTAAATACATTCAGTTTCCATATGCACAGTTAAACAGAAGAGTTTTCAGCCTGGATTTAAACATTGTCAGAGTTGAAGTCTGTATCATCTCAACTGGAAACTGAAATGAAGCCTCTCCTTGTTTAGTTCTGACTCAGCCTACAGGTAAAGCAGATTTATAAACATTACGATATGATGATTATGGTTAAATCCTATCATTCTTTCCCATGGGATTAAAGATTAAATTAGAGTTTTTCTTTGGGTCAATCGAGTGCTGCACTCGTACCGCCTCACAACACAAGATGTCGCTGCTGCACCGTTTCCAATATAATGATTGGTCACTCGCGTGTCACATGATCAAAGATAAGCTAGTCCTAACAGGAAGTGGCATTAGTGGCTAACAACATTAGCCCTCGACCCTCGGTCATAGACTGGAACCAAACTGGTAATTTCACATCCACGTCACCAACCTCCTTCTTATAGACCTTTCCCACCGCGTTACTGTGGTCATGCTAACGTGTCATTTATGCCTCTTTCAGACATGCCACAGAAAGATCCGTGTCAAAAGCAAGCGTGCGCTATTCAGACATGTTTGCAAGGTAGATTTGATGTTGTAAAAGTCTATCGAGGCGAGCCCCGTTGGAGCAGTTGACGTAACGCCGTCTTCCTCTTACAGCTAACAAGTACATGGAGCGTATGTGCGAGGATGTGATCCAGGAGATGAGGCGGTGCTGCGCGGCCCAGGCCGGAAACTCCATCTGCTGCTCCGGTTTTAAGGAGTCCAAACCGGTGGAGAGCGAGGGCAGCTCATAAACATCTCCATCTAAACATCACGACAGCACGGCCCCGTCCTGCCTGGTCTCAAGAGTTCACGGTGGTGCTGGAGGTGTAATGGTGCGGGGGAAGTTTTCTTGGCACACTGACCCCCCTTAGTGCCATTTTAGGGTCTTTAAAATTCTGCAGCCTACCTGAGTACTGTTGCTGACTTTGTCCATCCCTTTCTGACCACAGGGTACCCATCTTCTGACAGCTGCTACAGCAGGATAATGCACCGTGTCACAAAGCACATATAATCTCAGTCTGTTTTTGTTTTTTTAATATGGAAATGAGTTGACTGTACTCCAATGCTCTCAACAGTCACCAGATCTCAATCTGATAGATCACCTTTAGGATGTGGCTGACCGGGAAGTGCAGCCCATAGATCTGCTGCAACAGCGTGATGCCATCGTGTCAACATGGTGCTAACTTTCTGATCAATGTTTACGACACCATGTTGACGACATGAAACAAAGAATTAAGTCAGTTGTGAAGTCAAAAGGGGGTCCAACCTTCTACAAGTAAAGTGTACCTAATAAAGTGAGCTTTTTGAACTGTAGAAATTATGGAAGCAATAGTAGAAAACAAAACTACATCTTTTTGCAAGTTGTCCACCTACATGTTTTTGTATTTATTCCCAAATCAGTTTTAAAACTCAATTTTCATAAAGAATCCATGCATGCTGACATCTCCCAGCCCCATTTATTTGATTTTCTTTTTTTATTTACATGAAAATGGGCAGGCATTCCTCTGATTAGACATTTTCAGGTCATTGCAGAAGGTTACATAAACACCACATGCCCGGGGAACTAAATCTAACTTGTCACAGCCAGTAGACTCAACTGAACTGTTCATAATTTTGTACGTCATGTTATGAAGTAGGAGGGATTTGTTTTTTTATGTCAGCAATGAGTCAGTGAGACAGGTCACAGATGGATGTGTCGGGGTATGCACACTGATGGGAAAGATGAAAAAATGAGATTTCTTGACTGTGTCACGGCCTGACTCCTGCTGGTACCCGCCGGGGCCAGAGGAACTCAAATGTTCGGATTTATAATTACACATGTGATACACTGCAAACAGAGAGAACCTGCACAGGAATGGAAGAGCATGCAAACTGTAAGGTCCAAGTACGGGAAAGTTCTTTCTACCAACACAAACCATAATACAAATGTGCAGGCTTAGATCGCAATTTGATTTCAGACATATGTTTGTATAGCCATTTACCATACCCGCTTTTTTCCACCAAGGGTTACGAAAGGCTGGAGTTTATCCCAGCTCAATATCTACTGCTCAGAACTGAATATGAGTATTTATTAATATTTATTTGTTTTAGCATGTAGAATCTTCTCACTTACTCAGAGGGATGAAATAAAAATGATATTCTAATAAAATAAACTTTGTTTGATTTTTTGTTAAAGACAGTGATAAATTAAATTCCTTTGACCTTGTAGCCATGATATATATAAAAAAAGGTTTGTATTCTTATCTTTTTAGAGATCAATATTAATACAAATATTTAGGAATAGCAACACGTAGATATAAAAAATTAAAACCAATGAAATATGAGAAAAACAAACACAGAATAAAATGTGTCATTGAAGTTTAGCCATATCCTTAACCTAATTTACAAAAATGAACTTCTTCTACTCATTTAAGTGGAAAACACCACGTACAAAGTTTACCAGCTGTCTTAAAAACCCATTTTTGCACAGATCAACCTTGTAAACATATTGTGTAGCTTTTGTCTTCCGGTAAAGTACGTCATCTGGTCGGCACGACGTGATGACGTCGACGGGAAGGAGCGATTCTTTCTAGAAATTTGTAGCAAGAAGTCGTTAGCTCGCGCTGGAGTGGTCCAGCAGAGTTTGCCTTAGTCATATTTAGGTAGCAGCTTTTCTAAGAACAAAGACGAGTTTTAACGGCGTTTCGAACTGTAAGATTTTAAAAATCAATCCTCTGGTTGGTATCGTCTAGTACATTAACCAAGGAGCCTCTTATTGCAAGCTAACGCTGTTAGCGTTAGAGTCTTAGTGGCAGGATGTCCAGAATCGATTACAGCGTGTGGGACCACATTGAGGTTTCAGATGATGAAGATGATACTCATCCTAATATCGACACACCCAGCCTCTTTAGATGGAGACATCAGGTACAGTTTAAATTCATGCTATAGTTATGAAGATGTTCCAACCGTGTGATTGGTGCACGCTGCTTTTGTCAGGTGGCTTCCTGTGTTCATTTTTTTGTTTCTTAAAGACTTTCCAAATTTGTGCTAAGAATAAGTAATTTCGTTACCAACATTCCCAGATCTGATATTATGTGTGGATGTGTGAGGGGGAGATGGGGGGTGCATGTCAGAGAGATCATTGCTAGTAGTTGTAAGTGATGCATCATTTGCATTTCAGGCTCGTGTGGAGCGAATGGAAGAATTTAATAAAAAGGGTGAAGACTTAAACAAGGGACTTGCTGAATGTCGGCGTAAGCTGGCAGAGACACAGAAAAAGGTACAAGAGATGACCATTACAACAGCTGGGGAGGCCAAAGCAGAGCTGAGCAAAGTCCAAGCTGAGGAGAAGAAACTGAAAAAAGAGGAGCGTGATTGGCAGAAGAAGGTGGACGAACACAACCGGGAGGAGAAGAAGATGCCATGGAACGTGGACACGCTCAGCAAGGAAGGGTTCAGCAAGGTGATGAAGCTGTAATGTGCTGTCAGAAAACGATTACCTCTTGTAACAGACTGAACTTTCTGATTAGAAATCAACTCAGGGATTTGTGAATCATCGTGTTGCTGTTACAAATCCAAAACGTTTGTGAATTTCTTAAGACAAAAAAATGTCTAGTGTAGAAAATATCAAGCTGAGGTAATTCTTTATACAGTTATGGGTAAATTGCTTCTTCTGTGCACGCTATTTTAAGAAGACCACATGCTTACAAACCCTCATTGATGTGGGACTAACCTTTAAAAACACACCTCATCATAACAACAAGAGGGCCTTTACTGCAAATTGAAGGAAAAGGTTTTCCAAGTTCCAAAATTGTACCTGACATTTTAACAAAAGACGTATATAATAAACATTGATAAAGACTCCACAAAAAGAGCAGGCAGCAGGCGAAAATGTAGTTACGATTTACATACTTAAATGAAAATGGCAAAAAGAAAAAGAAGGCAATAGTGTGTTGCAGGCAGTCATTCAAATAATTAGATACATAGTATTCAGTTGTGTTCAAGTGCATTTATCTAACACCATTCCAAAACCCTTCAAACCCTTTGACATAGATTTAATTTAATCATGTAAAATCCATTCCAGTCCATGTTTGTTCCTTTTATCATCAGTCTTTTTCACCACAGTAGAGGTTGTTTTTTTTATTTCCTCTACCAACTCCCCTGTTGTCCACCAAAGCTTTGACCGCCTCATAAATCAAACTATGTCCAGCAATCAGCAAGGTGTCAGAGCAGAACTCCACATAAGGAACTCCTCTGTGCAAACGGGCAGCCAGGCGTGACCCGCTCTGACATTTTCTGCTGAAGTGGTGTGTCAGGCCAGTGCTTAATCTGGAAAAAGATTTTTAGTCTTAAAAGAACTGATTTTGTGGTGTTGACGTTACTTTACAGTTTTATTGCACTGAAAATGCTAGTTTTGAACCCTAAACACAAATGTTGGGCGTACATTTGCATTCTGGCCATGAAACTCTGCGTATTCTCAGTTGTAAGACACGGTTATAATGGATTCATTCATTTTTTTATTTACATAGTATGAGATAAAAAAAGACCAGATATGTTTACAAGAGTGCTTTATTCAGACTGCCCTGCTGAAACGGTGCAGGCTCTGCTGTCAGAGTGCAGTTTATGTTGTTTACATACCCGTTTTTACATTTTTTCCCCACAACAGAGCGTTGTTAACGTCAAACCCGAGTCTGCTGACGAGACCGAAGAGGAGAAGGAGCAAAAGCACAAAACCTTTGTGGAGAAATACGAAAAGGAGATCAAACATTTCGGTAGGCAGCCGTCAGCTTCCGTAATTTATTCCTGGTTACAGTTGAAAAGGCGCCGCTCGTTCATTATTGTCTTTACCTCAGGCATGCTGCGGCGCTGGGATGACAGCCAGAAGTACCTCTCTGACAATCCTCATCTTGTCTGTGAAGAGACTGCCAACTACCTTGTTATCATGTGCATCGACCTTGAAGTTGAAGAGGTAAAGGGCTTCTCCCAGTTCCCATCGGTTCATGCTCAGACATTCCAGTCAGTTTTATGGGCGGCCACTCGGAGCTCCAGTTTCTCCTTCGAGCTGTTTGCTTTTGGTGGATGTTTCGCGTTCTTAAAGTATGATTCCCTCTCTTGCAGAAACACGCCTTGATGGAGCAGGTGGCTCATCAGACGATTGTCATGCAGTTCATTCTCGAGCTGGCAAAAAGCCTCAAAGTGGATCCGCGGGGCTGCTTTCGTCAGTTTTTCTCCAAAATCAAGGTAATGACGTGCATTTGGGTTGTAGAAGGATCTAAATTTAGCCTCCACCTTATAGCCTTCTCAACCCAAAGGCAGAGAAGCCCCTCTTGTGTTCACAGCTGGGAGCAATTGTCGTTTGCTGGTTCATATTTTTTCACAAAAAGCCAAGTTAATCCCTTTTAACAAATACATCCACCACGCTCATCTCTACAGACGGCCGATCAGCAGTACCAGGACGCCTTCAACGACGAGCTGGAGTCATTCAAAGAGCGAGTTCGAGGGAGGGCAAAGATCCGCATAGAAAAAGCCATGAAGGAGTACGAGGAAGAGGAGAGACAGAAGCGCCTGGGCCCCGGAGGCCTGGACCCTGTGGAGGTGTACGAGACTCTTCCAGCTGTAAGTCTCCCTCTCAGAGGACTCCACACTCGTTTGTCGTCCCTTTTCCAGTTTGAAATGCCTCACAGTGTGTGTTCGTCACTGCAGGAGATGCAGAAATGTTTCGATGAGAAGAACATCCAAATGTTACAAGAAGTCATCACAAAGATGGACCCCACGGTGTGCAACTTTTTCTAATTAGTATTTATTATTTATTTGTGTTAAGGAAAAGGGTTTAAGTATGTATTTATTCATTTATTTTTAATCCCATGTTTTAGGAGGCAAAGCTTCACATGAAGAGGTGCATCGACTCTGGGCTCTGGGTCCCCAACTCCAAGACAGATGACGGGGATGAGAAAGAGGAAGAGGGCACCTACGAAGAAGTGAAACAGGAGCCAGAAGAAACTAAGAAAGAATGACCAGAACCGGCCCCCTGATCATTTGTTTGTATACTTTCCCAATGTATTGCAACTCCACTATGTGTATGATTAGTTTTGCCAATTTTAAGTGACATAACTGCTCCTAAAATGTTTAGCAGAGATTTGAGGGGGTGAGAGGCTCTTTAACTACACAACTCTGTCACATCAGTAACTCCAGCTCGGACATAAAATAACTGCTGCTTGTATTTTTGAACATCACTAAAGCCGTGTCCATTTTTATTTGTGTACAGACGTGTGTGTGTTTGTGCGGGTGTGTGTCTGCTTTTCTGCCCGCCTGCCTGTTTGCTTCATTTCTGTTGCCGTATTGCTTTCAGGTTCAGGATATCGAATCAATAGTTTCGGTTGACTTTTATGGGCTTAAGCAGCCAATATTTTCAGATGGTTATTTTCAAATGTGACATTTTCTACAAACTTCATTAACTAAAGGTTCAATTCTTTCCACCTTCTGAAGATGTGGTTTGTTTATGGAGGGTCTGTGGACACGCCATTCTAATCAGAAATGAACGGTGGCGGATGAGCCGCTGGGTTTTTTTATGTGTTTAAAGATGACTTTTGCTCTGCATCCTCACTGGTCAAGTAGGGAATTGGTCATTTTGACCTTCCATGTGTTCGGGCACAAAATGTCGACAACCAGTAACATTCACACAAGGCCTTCAGTCTCCAGCAGAACAGATGTTGTGCACATTAGCTTTCGCCTCAGCTTAATAGGGCCAAATTGTTAATGTTCAGTCAATAATAATGTTGAGTCTTTTTTAACCTTATCCCAAATGAAATAAAAAGCTGCAGGAAGACACTGAACAGGAGACTTCTTTTCTTTTACGGGGTGATGCGTATGGCAGGTTGGAGTCCCAGAATCTTTCGGCATTTGCATGTCAGAGCTGAGAGTTTTGAAATGAGCAGGAAGTGAAGCGGCTTATATAAAAAGCTTTACGACGCGATTGGAAATGTCTCAATAAAACGGCTCATTGTGGAAATCGACACCTGTTTTTCTCCAGACTTTTGTGAAAATGTATTGTTTCTGTTGGAAGACTGGAAGCACGCGGCTGTTGGAACGTGTGAGCGCGTGCACGTGCTCAGAGAGCGCCTGGATCTGTGTCCACGCTTTGCAAAGGGACAGGGCCAACTTTGCAAAGCGGGCTCCCGGTTTCCATCCTGGGATACTTTCACACACCATCCAACTTTTGGTTGTGTTCCTCTTTGGAGTCAAGTGTAACTAAAACAATAAGCCAGATGGAAACCCCCTAATTTCTCAAAAGGCAAAGCTTGATTCACCAAAAATACTCTCAATAACACCTACACAGCAGGAGACGACACAAAGAGAAACACTTCTGGAGGTTTTGGGAAACTCCGGCCTCTGACGGACAAAAACTGAACGGAGAGAAAAAATATGGTCACACACACATCAGAAAAATGTTGATTCCTTCCTGCCAGTTGGAGGGGAAACCACTTTCTGTTTAGTTTTCCCCTCCTGGTCACCACCGGTCCCTGGACCGAGAAGAGAGAGAGTCTGCCCTCCAAGTCCCTGGACCGAGAAGAGAGAGGTCATCTCAGACTGCGGCCGTCCAGACTAATCTTGAAAAGGGGGTCAGCGCGCCGTGCATGTGCGTGTGCGCGCTCACGAGCCTCTCTCCAGCTCTGAGGGGACGTGGGAGGAGCGGCCGCGAGAGTTTCCGGAAGCGCAGCCCGGTTGTTGATCACGATTCACGAGAACTGCGGAGCGGAGCGGAGCGGGGCAGTGGAGGGGAAGCACGCCGATCGGGAGAAAAGTTCGAGCCTCTGATCGCTGGAAAAAACGCCTCTGCGGGACCCCTGTTACCGGTAAGGTGCTCGATCAGACATGACGTCCCTGAGTGTGTGTGTGTCTGCGTCATGGTGAGCCGCTCAGCCGTCCTGCGCCCTGTCGGGGAGGCTTATTGTTGTTGTTTTTTGGCCCACGGCTGGGCACTCTGTTGCGCACGTTAACAGTAAGGCCACTGAAAGGCGTCCGGCCGCTGAACGGAGGCTTTAAAGCTGTTTTTTTTGTGACACAAACAGCTTTAACACAATCTGTAATACCGGAAGGCCCTCGGTAGACTGACGTCAGGTTCATGAAAACGTTTTGTGTTTTTATTTTGGTTTGCTGTAAGGTAAGTTAGAAAAAATATATTCAGACTAGATACCAAAGTGTAGAACCGAGCATGCTGTGGGATCCGGACATCCGATCCGTGTGCACAGGACACACTTGAACCCCACAGAGCAATTTCCGATCTCTGCGTCACTTTTTTTTTTCTTTGCATATTTCTCTTCCTTCTGGGCTTGCATAAGACTTGATGCCTACGTGACTTTTAGGCCAACAGCTGATTTACCAGACTCTCCATATGTGTGTCTCAGTGATCCGGCCTGCCAATGTCTGTAAGGGGACGGTTCAAGTTGGCCGGGTCTGGAGCAGCTCCAGGCCCAGGTGCAGCTCCCCAGACCAAAGGAATCCACGTTTACCTGTTCTGGACTAAAGAAGGGGAGAGGTATCTCTCTCACACGTCTGGGGACGTCACGGCAGAGGAGCTGTGCATCTCGGCCGCCGAGGCCGTCGGTGAGATTGGTGATTTTTATTTGGCTTAATAAAGATGGCCTGTGTGGTTTTGTTGTCGGTGTGACGTCTCCGTTTCCTCGGCAGGGATTACTCCTCTATGCCATGTGTTGTTTGCATTGTATAACCCACAAACCTGCTGCTGGTACAGTCCAAATCACACATTCAGCCCAGAAGATAACTCCAGTCTGGTGCTCCATTACTGTATGAGGTTAGTTTCTGATGGTGTAATACTGCATATTTCGGAGAGTGACTGTGTGTAATAAGCCGTCTGGTTTCCTTGTGACTAGGTTTTACTTTCGGAATTGGCATGGGCTGAATGACAAGGAGCCCACTGTATCCCGCTATAGTCTCAAGTCTGGGACAGCCCAGGGAGGTTCTCCTCTAATTGAAATGACTTCCTTGGAGTATTTATTTGGCCAGGTGTGTAACTAACATGTAGTAATGTCCTATGACAGAATGCATTTTTTGGGTGTTTTGAACCCATTCCTATCTTGTTTCTTCAAACCAGGCCAAACATGAATTTGTGAATGAAGTGACTGAAATGGACGACATTAAGTCAGAGGAGGACCTTAGTCGCTTCAAAAATGAGAGTTTAGGAATGGCTGTGCTCCAGCTGTCGCACCTTGCAATAGAAAGAGGGTCTAGCTTACAGGAAGTTGCCGGAAAAATAAGGTAATGATTTAAAAGGGACAAATATGGTATTACATGAATACAGTTAATGACTGTACTATAATTCTTTTTTCTAAAGTTTGATACAATTTCTTGAATGTCTATTTTCAGCTTCCTACGCTGCATTCCGAAGTCTTTCGCGAAACAAATTTCAAAAGACAACTTTCTGACTAAAATCCGGATCCGGAGAGTGTTCGCAGAGTTTGTGCGGACCTTCCAGCAGCACACGGTGGACAAAGGGCAGCTGGGCACGCAGGAGATCATGTACAAGTACATCTCCACCCTCGAACACCTGGTTCCACGTTTCGGCTCGGAGATCTTCCCCGCGACGTTCCTGCTACTGAGGGAGGACGGGAGTAGCTCTTACTCCAGCAACGCCCATGATGAGGCCGTCTCCAAAGACTCGCACAATGCTCCGGCCACACATGAAATAATGGTGTCTGGCACCGAGGGGATTCAGTGGAGGAAGGTGCATGCCCAGAGGGTGTGTTGGAAAGTAGTCCCTTTGAAGATTTATGATTAAATAGTGGGCGATCTAAGGATGAATTTGATTCCATTTTTCTGTTTACTCCACTTCTCTACCTAGGCACAGATAAACTCTCACCACAGGAATGACTACATGAGTTACATGAGGAAAGCAAAACAACAGTCGGCTCAGCCGAACGGCAACACTCCTAACGAATGGACGCCATTCTGTGATTTCCCTGAAATCACTTACATAGCCATTACTGAAGCTAATGTGTGCATTAGCACTCAGGACAATCGCTGCATGGTAAGAGTAATTGTTTATCTTTCTGTGTATAAACTGTGAGACATTAATTGGCAAATGTCCTTGTCAGCCCCCTTTATCTGCTGTAAATAAGCTATTCAGATAATCAAATCATTCGCTCTATGAGCTGTTTGAGTACGTTGGATGGCGTCCGTTGTATGGTGCCACATAGTCCTCTGTTTTATGCATGTCTGGTCATAAGTTATTAGGTTTTTGGTTTTGCTTTGGGCATTTTGTTAAGTTTTATATGCATGTGTCTGTAGGTGGGAGCTAAGATTGTAAGCTATTGGTGTTTCTATATACGTATGTAGGAGGTACACATGAACTCCAGCCTGGAGGCCCGTTCCTTCATCTCACTCCTTGATGGGTACTACCGACTGACTGCGGACGCCCACCACTATCTTTGTCGAGAAGTGGCCCCCCCAAGGGTAGTGCTGAGCGAAGCAAATCTACTGCATGGACCCATGCAGTGAGTTTTTTTTCTTCTCCTCTTATACAAGCTAATTCAGACACAAACAGGCTGCAGAGAAACAGTTATATCACAGCTCTGGTCTGCTTCCAGTGACGATTTTGTGCTACACAAGCTGAAAAAGGAGGCGGCAGAGGAGGGAACTTTCCTGGTCCGTTGGAGCGCTCTCGACTACCGCCGAGTCATCCTCGCCGTGCTAAAGAAAAAAGAGGTGAGTCGACGCTCGCGCGCCTCTCCGGGAGCTGCTGCAGTGCGATGATGTTGAGGGGGTGGGGAATAAAATCCCTGTCGCACCTGCGTTTCCCCACAGGGCGGTTCGGCTGCCAGTCACAAGCAGTTCCGCATCCAGCAGAAGGGGTCCACGTTTCACATGGAGGGCTGGGACCGCGAGTTCTCCACCGTCAAGGAGCTCACCGACAACCTCAAAGCCTTCGTGCTCAAGTCCGGGTCCGACAGCTTCACCGTCAAAAGATGCTGTTTGCCCAGACAGGGAGGTTCGTGTGTATCGGATATCCGTTGTGTGTGTGTGTGTGTGTGTGTGTGCAACCCGGGGTTGTTCGTACGGTGTGTGACACTGAGGTCTGTCTGTCTTTGTCGTGTGCAGAGTTATCCAACCTGCTGGTCAAACGCCATGGCACTGACCCCTGTACTCATTCCGGCTCCTCCTCGCCAAGCCAGCCTCAGGTGCACTTCTACCCAATCAAAGACAAAGACATCATACAGGTGATCATCTTTCTGTTCGCTCCAGCTCGATGCGTTTTGGTCTCCGGTTGATGGAAGTGAGTGTTTGTGGTCATGTGTAGGAAGAGCACTTGGGCCGCGGCACCATCACTAACATCTACTCCGGACACTTGCTCCTGCGGGGAGAGGATGAGGATGTGGACGAGCTCAACAACAACTTTGCTAACCGCAAAAGCATCCGAGTGGTTCTCAAGATCCTGGACCAGAGCCACACCGACATCGCACTGGTGAGAAAACGCGCCGGCTCCCCTCGCTCTGTGCGCGACGCCTGTGCTTTTGCTTGATGTTTCCCACTGTCTGTCCCCAGGCATTTTTTGAAACGGCGAGTCTCATGAGCCAGGTATCCCACAGCCACCTGGTGTTTGTTCACGGCCTGTCTATCAAAGGATCCGAAAGTGAGAACGATAAAACTGTCCGTCCGCATGTACCTGCTTCCACTTTTAGCGACTTCCTGTTTTGCTGCCGTGCGAGCTCGCACACGTTCCGAGCCTCTAATCAAATAGCGAAGTAGATGCAAATGTTCTGGCAAGCTTTTTAAAAACAACACCTAAAGCTCGCCTCTGCCTCCACAGACATCATGGTCGAAGAATTCGTGGAGTTCGGGCCTTTAGATATGTTCCTCCATAAAGAAAAGGCATCTGTGACTGCTCTGTGGAAATTAATTGTTGCCCTACAACTTGCCAGCGCCCTCAATTATCTGGTGAGTTCAAGCCCTTTTTCAATTTGCACCAAATGTGATATTACCATGTAATTAGTATAACACAGAACTATTCACACGTATCATGGCAGTCTTTTATAAGATTACTAAGGTTAGTACGTATTTAACGTGATTAGTTAACTGCACAATTCACACTGGACTCTGACTATTGACCGTGAGCCGAGATGTAATATCATTATCATTATCAGGCCCTTTTAGGATAAGGGCTGCAAGCATTTTTTCTATGATAATGTCTCACTCCTATTCATAGTCAGCCTCTTCCGTGCCCCTCACAAGAAATCATGTGAGAAATAATTATTTGTCAAATGAAATATGTTGGGTTTCAAAGACTGAGGGTTAGTGGGTTCTGTTTGAAGGGAGCAGGATGACCGCAAGGTTAATCGGCTGGAGCTGGGGTTGGAGAGAAAAGGGTTTCCCAAAGAGTCAACATCTGTGCCATTGTTGTTATTTTAGGAGATGAAATCGCTGGTCCATGGAAATGTCTGTGCCAAGAACATTCTGGTGGCAAGGCGTGGTCTAGAACATGGCACTACTCCTTTTGTCAAGCTGAGTGATCCAGGAATCGCCCTGAATGTGCTCTCACGGGAAGGTCAGTATCTGTGTGTAAATTCTTAATTAACCTAAATTCACGTGAAAGCTCCTCAGCTCACCATCCCCAGATGTTCAGCACTTTCAGATACGACGTAGCCGCACTTTGATCAGATCTAGGAAACCGGAAAGTTAAACCGACCACTTCCTTTGACTTCTTTCCTGTTGTCTTGCAGTTTTACTCCACATCGTCAAGTTTTAGGTTTCCATTTGAATACACTGGTGCAAATAAGGTTGGAAATGAAAGAAAATATCATTTAGCTGGATCATTTAGTTTAATTTAGCTGGATTTTTTGGGGTTCTTTTATTAAGCATTCCCCCTGGGTCCTCATGTGTTGCCCCTCTATCTAATATATTCTCTTTTAATGAGTAAGCACTGAAAAGACTTGGATTTGATCAGCCCTTCTCACTGTCGGTCCTCTACACTGCAGAGCGCGTGGACCGCATCCCGTGGATAGCCCCTGAGTGTATTGACAGCAGTGCACCTTTCGGGAATGCCGCTGACAAGTGGAGCTTTGGCGTCACGCTGCTTGAAATCTGCAACAATGGCGATCTTCCAATGAGTGCTAACACGTTGCCTCAAGTAGGCCAGAGATTCACTCTCGACCTGTACATCTACCTCCCGCCGACATTATCCTTTTGTCGCCAGCTTTTAATACCAAAACTTTATCTCGCCCCAACAGAAAGAGCGCTTCTATCAGCAAAAGGGCCGCTTAGCTGAACCCTCCTCCCAGGAGCTCGCCAGGTTTATCAGCATGTGTTTGACCTATGAGCCGGAGGAGAGGCCTTCATTCCTCACACTGCTCAGAGAGCTCACAGACTTAATTAAAATAAGTCAGTGTTTACTCGCTTGCATCCGACATTGTATTTCTTTCGAGCCTGCCTCGGCGCATTGAATAAACAGATGCTTTAATCTTAACCCAGACCCGGACATATCGCCCAGCGAAACAATCCAGCAAGCAGAAACCGGCATGTTCCACAAGCGCTACCTGAAAAAGATGCGGACCCTGGGGGAGGTGAGCTTTAGCACTGCCTTTTTAAGATTGCCTGTACTTTTAGAGTAATTTTGTGTTTCATGTGCTGTCTTAAGGGTCACTTTGGGAAGGTGACCCTCTACATGTACGACCCAACCAATGACGACACGGGCGAACTTGTGGCAGTTAAAACCTTGAAGCAGGAGCATGGCAATGTTCCCGAGGGCTTTTTGAAGGAGATTAGTATCCTAAAGTCCCTTGATCACAGCAACATTGTCAAGTATAAAGGCTGCTGCAATGAGCCAGGTGAGCCCCCTGCATCTTTGATTTTGAGCTTTAGATGTTTATTGACTGAGCTAGCATACAGACCCTAGACAAGAAAAGGTTGGTAAGCTCTTGATAAGTCGCAATCGTAAGTGGATCATTCTGACTATTGATTTTAGTCCTTTTTTGTTCTTTTGTAAATATAAAAAAATCCATGTGAAATGCACAACTGTTTCCAATGTTTTAACAATAATTTGAGCACAATGCACGCTTAGAACCAGTTTTGATTGTAGGTTATCATTTTGAAGGTAATGAAATGAGAAGATTAAACACATCCCTTTGTTGTGCATTGACAGGAAGAGGGGAGGTACAGCTAATAATGGAGTACGTCCCCCTGGGCAGTCTGCGAGAATACCTCCCCAGAAGTAAGCTCGGTGTGCCCCAGTGCCTGAAATTTGCACAGCAGATCTGTCAGGTGAGCTTGGCTCAGCATGGTGTCCTTTGACTGGAGTGGATGCCTTGTGGCTGTAGTTGTGCTAAAACAATACAGAGTGCAACAAAAAAAAGAAGAAAAAAAAGAAAAACATTTTAGCTTACGCTGATCTTTGTCCATAACTTTGGTACAATCTGCACTCATTTTCTCAGTTTGAAGTTTATTATTTTGAAGGAATGAGTGTCAGGGTCAGCTATTTCCTTCCTACACTAAAACGATGTAATTAATTTAACATTGACTTGAACTGAATGTCCATACGTACATTCTGATTTTATTAAGCAAGAATGAGCAGGTTTAGTGTTTATCATTTTTCAGTTTTGGTGTTAACGCTGGAAATACATAATTTGGTTGTGAGAGGCATTATTCTCAGCCAATGAACGTTGACATCTGTAGAGATATTTTAAATACAATTTTGCGTTATCGTTGTGTCCCTTTGGTTTTTTTTTAAAAAAGGGTATGGAGTACTTGCACTTAAAGCGCTATGTGCATCGAGATCTTGCGGCCCGTAATGTCCTGGTGGAAAATGACAATTTGGTAAAGATCGGAGACTTTGGCCTGACGAAGTCTATTCCTGAGGGAGAAATCTACTACCGTGTCCGTGACGATGGAGACAGCCCGGTGTTCTGGTCAGTTCATGCAGGACTTGTTCATGTCATCCAGTGTTTTGTTCTACGATGAGGGCAGCTTGGAATAAATGTTACATCTTGGATTTTGCAGGTATGCCATTGAGTGCTTGAAGGAGAGCAAATTCTCTTTTGCCTCTGATGTCTGGTCCTTTGGAGTTACATTGTATGAGGTCTTGACCCGCTGCAACAAACTTCAGAGCCCTCCATATGTACGTGAAAGAAAATCGTCGTCATAAGTTCAAACCTCAAAACATTCACATGCATAAAGAGTAAACCTGCCATTCATTGTGTCAAATTCTCATTCTTCTCACGTTTTTTTCTCTCTTGTGTTTTTGTAGAAGTTCGCTGAAATGATCCCACCTTGTAAAGGACAGATGACCATGATATTACTCATCAAACTGTTGGAGAACAACCAGAGGCTTCCGTGTCCCAGAGACTGCCCACATGAGGTAACATTGGATATCCACCAGACGAGATCAACATTTTTTTGGTGTTGCTATTGATCCAACTTTACAATAACCTCTGTTTTCAACAGGTGAAGTTGTTAATGGAGCAATGCTGGGATGCAGATGCTGCAAAACGACCATCATTCCACGACCTTGTTGAAAAGCTGGAGGCGATACGCAAAAGCTACGACTGGCAATTTACGGCAAACTTCTCCATGTCTCAGATTTGCTGATTGGACACAGTGATGATCCTGTGACGGCAGGTCATCGCTTGGACAGTGACTTACCACAGGGGAGCCAATAAATAGTCTCCATCAGTTCCCGACTTTTACTATTTACAGAGATATTATTATACTTATTTTATGATAAAAGCATACATTTCGCCCCTCTCATCTGATGAAAACAATAGCATTTGCATGTATTGTGACGAACCACATGTCAGCTTTTATGTAAATACATTTAATAGATTTTCACTTATCACAATTAGTATTAAGAGTTTCTATAAATCTGGGGAATTCGCCTTTTGTTTTATGTTTAATTTTTGTATTTTCTCTCTGTGTATGTTAACCATGCGTATATATTTTGTAAATGTAAGAACCAGTTTATAACCTAATAAATGATTACAAGGGGGATTTGCAAACATGCACGAATGCTGCAAGAAGAACTCTTATTTGAAGAAATAGAAAGACTAAAGCAGAACAGCAGACACTGTGAAACATGTTTCTAATTCTGGCCTGAATCTCTTGCTCCTCTTATTACTGACTTTCTGGCAGGATGTTGGCTAGTGTCTATAGACAATATATAGACATATACAAGACACTGTCCTTGTTTAAGATTTTGTAATTTGTCAATATTACACAAAAATGATAACCTTCTCTATTGAGGATACAACATCTGATTGGTTTACTCTTCAGATGTATATATAAATCCCCAGATGATAAATTGCTCAGAGTTTAACAAGATTTTTATAGAGAAAATATATTCCTGGGAATGAGAAAAACCCAATGTTGCAGTTTTGGGGGCTTTTGACTTCTATGGCCAGCACTGACTTTGATCAGAATTCTACATGCTTTGACAGCTTTGGCAGCAACTCACAAAAATGTCCCCATGCATTCTAAAGACAGAGTAACTGTGCATTTGTTTGAACTCTTCAGCAAAGCTCATCCATAACAAGTTCACTTCTACTAAAGTTGAGGGATTGACTTACTTTTCAAGCTATTGAATTGTATTTATTTTTTGTTCTTTTGCACTACTATATATCAATGAAACTGGCCTCAGCAAAGCTTTTTTGCATAATAATGCACTACTGCACCATTTCACTCCTTCCACCCTCTTTCTGAAAACAAGGTGCTTAAACTCCTGATTTGTAGCCGGCCTTCTACTCGTGGATACAATTCCAACCAACCATCTGCAAGTCATTGCTCTGACCATGGTGCCAGCAGTCACACATGTCCTTAATGCCTCACTGAACTTTGGAACATTTCCTACAGCCTCTAAACAAGCATTTGTAAAAGTGTTACTAAAAAAATAACCGTCGCTTGCACCAAATCTGTCAAAGACTATAGACAGGGCAGTCGGCGAAAAGGTCACATAATAAAAACATAATTTTCCATATCTATCCATATCCATATATCCATGTCCATACCATTAAGAAGTTCTCTCCCCCTCCATCACTGTGTGGTACCCTGCATCCTCTGCCCACACCAAAGGCAGACTGGGGCGCATCGTGCGCACGGCGAGCCAACTCACAGGCCTATCCCAGTGGTCAACGGGCGAGAGGCAAGGGACACCCTGGACAGTCCGCCAGTCCATTGCAGGGCACACCTGAACATAACATATGTTATTTTCCTGTGTTACTTTACAACTTTACATATTATAATTAAATATAATTTGCCTCTTTAATATTTTCACATTTGTTATTTAAATTATCCTGTGGCGCTGGGATACCAGGTCAAATTCTTGTGTACTCTGTACATTTGGTCAGTCAGTACATTTGGTCTTATATATTGGATAACAATACAAAAATGTAAAACATCTGTTGTCTCCCATAATAAAGACAAGAGTGTCGAGTGATAGTAGTACATTTTAAAAAACTATTTAAAAAAGCATGGTAAATAAATCACAGTTCATGACAGGGCCAATTGGTTCACATTGATCCCGCCCCCACTTTACGCTGCGTCGTAGTCATGGAGAATGCATCCCGCTCTCGTCCAATGAGAAGCGGCGCAGGGACCATGTGTGTATTGTTTAAACTGCTCAAATCGGCCAGAGTTCCCAGACCGATAAAACTTCCACCAAAGTAAGTGATGGCGGCTGCCGTGTCTGTTAGCACAGCTGGCAGTGATGAGAGCACAGACACTGGGCCCTGTTTTGTTTCTCGTCCTCTTAATGGAAACTACGACCTCGCTGCGAATCAAGAAAATTGGATAGCCGGAGATCGCCGGTATTACGAACTCGCACCCAACGAGGAGGACGCCACATCGGAACGCGAGTGTCAGCGAAGGGTCGATGAGGACTTGACATCACTGAGTCCTGAAGAAATTGAGAGCCGCTTGGAGAGAACTCGTCGGGAGTTTTACAACCGTAGGAAAATAATTATAAAAAATCTACCATCCGACGTTAGTAATCAGGTAAGTGAAACAACTGCTTGTAAATTAGTTGTTCAGTTGCAGGTGAATGATTGATGGGGGTACCTTGGCTAGTGTTAGCCTAGCTCCACTGTGTCCATCATGCTACTGACGTTAGCTTGATAGTCCTTTAACTCGCTTGCTGCCCTTAAACTTTTGTTTTTTTGATGGTTAAACCTCTCAATTGCATATCCAGTCGATTTTAAAGTCTTAATGCAGTTTAGTGAGAGCCCCTTTTGTAAAAAAATTGTGTGAAATTACTCAACTGTGAGTGGCAGGTGGTCGGTTCACAGCCATATCAATGGGTCCCCTGTGGCCTGTGTGACCTGCCACTTTGGCCATGTTAGTGACTGATTAGCAACTATGACACTTCCTTTCTTGACTCAAACCAGTCAGAAATGTTCTGTTTCTAATCAGGACCTAAAGGTTCACAGTATATTTTCTTTGTAATCAGCCCATCTGTTATTAATAGTCTCCTGGTTTAAATGGTCTCTGATTTAGTCGTGATGTTACCTTTTTTTTTTTTTTTTGGAACCTGCCTGACTCGTGGGGAGCTGTGGGCCTGCGGACAGTACCATTGTTCACAGGGCGGGGGGGTGTGTGTGTCGGGAGTTCGAGATGCGAGTTGCCATATAACAAAAGATGGAAGGCGTAGAGACAAAAACGTTTCAGAAAATGCTAGAGGGCATTCCCACTCGTTTGTGAATGGGTAAAAGCAGCGCGAGCAAACAATTTCTCCTACAACAATGAAGTTATTCAACTAATTTTCCCCCCTACAGATGCACTTGTAGCTAACTTCCAAGCGGACTTGAACGAGTTAATTATGTGATTGTTTTTGGACAGTCTCCCCCTATACCGTGTTCAAAATGGTGTACATATATATATTCATGATAATCTAATAATCAAAATCCAATAATCTATTAATTGATGGCACTTTTATATGGTCCCACCTTTAATTTAAATGCCTTGACCTAACTAATATCTGTTTATTTACAGGAGGTCCATGAGCTGTTGGGAGGTTATGACTTGAAGTACTGCTTTGTTGACAAATACAAGGGCACAGGTTTGTTCTAAAGATGTCAGTCATATTCCAAATATTTCAATTGTTTAAAAAAAAAAAAAGTTATATTAGTAATACTAAAAAGATTTCTTTCTTAAAGTGCTCATAAATAAATTATTCCCCAGTCTTGGCAACAAAAAAACGTGAAATAAAAGATTTGCATCAAAACTTGATTAGCTCCTTCAGTAAAGGGTTAGATAGTCATTTGGTTTCAGTAATGAATCATTATGACTGTCATACAAATACTGATTGGTCTGTAAAGTGGTGGAGCGCAGCAGAGGACATTGTAATTCAGGAGAGTGTTTATAATACTCTTCTTTTTAACCTCTGAACTTGCACATTTGGTAACTAAGCAAACTGGCAGAGCTGCATTTCTCTAGAAAGTTGTGGCTGAAAATGGGTCAGGACAGTATGAGCCTGATGGTAAATTCAGTTTTGTGTCTGATGTCGGCTAAGCTGTGGCTGAAGACTAGCAGCAGTGTGATGCTGTCACACCACTGCAAAGGAAGCGCCAATGATTTAAAAACTCACGCCTCACTCCTATGTGATGAGAATGAATCCTTTTTACATGCATTTACTCTAAAAGTTCACTGTTTGATATTTGTGCCAGTCTCTGAGAACTGTCTTTTTTTAATGTTTTTTTTTCAACATTGTGCCACCCGCATAAACATGCTAAGTCATGTGTAGATAACAGGATTTGTTCTGTGTTTTTCTTTTAAACATTTTCTTTCTTTTTTTGTTAATTCTCGGGGGCTGAACAAACGGCTCTCCCTCACATCACACAGACATCTTGAATGTTCCTCTTCCCTTCTCTGTCCCTCGTTACTCAGCATTTGTGACACTCCTCAATGGCGAGCAGGCCCAGTGTGCCATCAAAGAGTTCCACCAGCTCGCCCTGCGGGACCGGGAGATCTCTGTCAAGCTGCAGCCGACCGACGCGCTGCTCTGCGTCGCCAACCTGCCCCGAGCCTTCACCCAGCAGCAGTTTGAGGAGCTGGTGCGGCCCTTTGGCAACTTGGAGCGCTGCTTCCTGGTTTACAGTGCCTCCACCGGGCACTCCAAAGGCTATGGCTTTGTGGAGTACATGAAAAAGGACTCCGCGGCCAGGGCCAAGTCGGAGCTCTTAGGGAAGCAGCTGGGCTCCCGCATGCTGTACGTCCACTGGACTGAGGTGGGCTCGCTCACATACCCGCAGCTGCACTCCAAATGCCTGTGCATTGACCGCCTGCCCCCGAGCCTGCTGACTGCCCAAGACCTCCACAATGCCCTGGCTGACACTCACACGCCTGTGTTCTGCCAGGTCAGGTTCACACACACACGCACACAAACGCTGCTACCCATTAACTGAATGACTTCTGCCGCAAGAAAAAAAACGGCCGTGCCCCTAATGTCACACCTGCATCCCTTTAATTACTCACTGATGACGGCTCCTTTCTCCAGCTTTTATGCCGTCTAGGGGCAGATTAAGAGCTCCTGGAGCTTAGTGAATGCTAAGCGCCACCATCTGTATCAGAAGCTGGCAAAGTTTTCCCCGGGGTGCTAGGGATCCATTTGTGAGGGGTTTGCTATTTTAGAGAGGAATTTGTTGTCCATATTTGATCTTTTGAGTGCCTTTCACCTTTACCCCAGTTTCCATCTGGTCACTCAAAGTTTCTATAGCAATGGCAAATGCTGGTTTCTATGGCGATGACCAGCTGACTCCCGCAGGTGGTGTCATTCAGCAGGCTTTTCTGGAATATGACAGAGGGGTGTCTTTTTAGCTGGACAGGGACTTGGGATTCAGCTGGATAGAGGATATCGTTTAAATCAGTGTTTCTGGTTTTAACACACTTTTATTTGGTCTCACTCATGTGGACTTTGTTCAAGTTTAATCACAGGCACCATGAGATGACTGTTGTGGAAAAATGCGTTTCATAGACTGAACATTTTAAACCATATTTTGAAATGTTATTTTGTTTAAAATGTGTCAAACGGGATGAATAGATTTTTTACTCACTTATTTGTCACATATGTATCAACACTGAGTAAGCGAAAATGACTCTGGTGCCCATTTATTGAACTAGCCTGTAGCTGGACTGTAGAGGTAATAGGCTGTTTTTATTTCCCTCCCCCGAAGTTGGCTCAGGGACAAGATGGCAGTTTTCGCCGCTTCGCCGTGTTGGAGTTTGCCACTGCAGAGATGGCTGAGGAGGCCCAACGGCTCACAGATGGCAGGCAGCTGGGTGGGACCAACATAAGGGTGTCCTTCTGTGCCCCGGGCCCACCTGGAAGAAGCATGCTGGCCGCCCTGATTGCAGCACAAACCATGGTACCACAGTGAACCCGAGGAGCTGGGCTCAGGGGGCCCAACGCTCTCAGCTCCTGTGCTCATCGTTTGTCTCGTTTCTTTCCTCCAAGGCTGTAAACCGGGGTAAAGGGCTCCTGCCTGATCCCACAGCCATGCAGATCCTCACGGGTCTCAATAACCCCGCCACCCTGAAAATGCTGCTCAACCCTCTGTCACAGGGACACAAACAAGGTAAAGGAGTCCCTGGCCGCCGGCCCAGGCGGGCGGCCGGATTATGAGATCCGCTCTGGACTTGTGGACGGTGACGGTGTTTGTTGTGTGCAGGCCTCCTGGGGGCAGCCCCCGCCATGCCATTGCTGGGCAACCCCGCTCTCTCTGCCGCCCTGCTCCAGCTGCTGCTTCAGAACCAGGCCAAGGTCCAGCAGGTACGGCTACCTCTCAGCCCCGTCCACTACGTCTCCTCCCGCTGCTGCTGCTTCATCCCAATTTTGACTCATCCTCTCCCACTCATGCACACTTTCCTCCCCCCCCCCTCTCTCCCTCCTTCTTCCATCCCTCTGCGCCATTAGCAAGCCTTTCTGGGAAATCATCTTCTGTGGGCTCAGGTGCTGCACAATAAAGAAAACCCTCTTGCACTTTGTGTGAGTGATGATGGCGGCGTTTAGTGTTTGGCTTTCGAGTGAGGTGGAGGGTGAAGCTAAAAGGATCCCAGTCCTCCTATGTGACTGGTGGTGGGGAACAGATTTGCCTGTTGGTTAGCTCTCTCCAGGAAGGTGTGAGGTTTTTGATGATTGCGTGTGTGGGGTGGGGTGTTCTTTTGAGTGGTGCTGAGTGATGTGGTAGGTGTGCGTCGTTATTGTGTGGCGGGGTTGTAAATTGCCTGTTCTGTGAGGACATCGTGTGAAATGTGGTGAGTAAACCCGGGTGCTGATTGAGAGTGCTTATATAGTCCGGCAGTGGTTTTATTTATTTATTTTTTGCTCCACGAGTGCCGCAGTCAGGTGGTGTGACCCTCTTGTGACGCTGTTTCCTTTCCGCCAGCAGGCCGGACTCATTGGAGAGAATCCTCTGGCCGCTCTGCCCGTCCAGCAGGGAGTCCATCTGCTCGGAGACCTCCCCCAAGGTTTGGCATCCATCGGTTCCAGCTGCAGCTCCTCCAGCTGCTAATTGCATGTTTTTTTTTGCCTGGCCTCCGCCTGTAAACATCTCAATTTGCTCACAGATCAAGTCATTTAGTTTCTGTTTATATATTTATATTCCCTTTGTGGGGAAAAAAACTGTCCAGATTGCCCTGATTGAGATCTGTGCTCTTACCTTTCTCTTGCTTCAGGTGGGCTGGGTCTGCAGACGGATCCTCGGCCTTCGTTAAAGCAGATGCCAATTGGCAGAGCCTTGGGAAGGGAGCAGGATTCCCCCACATCAGTGTGCAGCTTCCCCCAGACTTCCTCTCCCACCCTGCAGGGCATGTCCATGCCCCTGATGGGCAGTGGGATGGGGACAGATGGCCTCACAGCACAAGGGGTGAGGCTCCCAGGGATTTCAGGACCTTGTATATCACTGCAGTTTTTCCTTTCTTTTTTTGGTTTTGTTTTTTGGCCACAATAATGTTCAAGAAGAAGGTGGGGGACAAATAAATATTCCCTCTTCTTCTTTCCCAGGTATCCTTACTGGGTGATCCTCCAAAGGATGTGAACCATCCACGAAGTGGCTTCCTTAGTGTTAACAATGGCTTCCCCTCAGGTGAGGTGCTTTTCAACAGATGCCCTGATTTATTGCTCCGTGTGCTTCAGATGGCTGCGCTTCTTCAATGCGTCGACCCACAGCAAACCGGGTCTCGCCAGCTCATTTCTGCCCCCCCCCCCCTCCCTTTCTCTGCCTCAGGAGCGAGCTGCAGGCCTCACCCCTATAAGAAAAGGCCGACGCCGAATAACATTTCCAGTCAGCATTCGCATCATAGCGTACAGCCCAATTATAACCTGCGTTACCAGGACTCCTACAGCCCGGAATATCCGCCTCTGCACCAGGTAAAAGGACGAGCGTCTCTGCTCGGTCTGTAATGTTTTGCCACCCGACGCTGCTTTACGGTGGCCTGCACATTGTGGCACGTTTGTTGGTGGTGAAGTGATCCGATGTGTCTCCTCAGGATCCCCTGGGCCGCTTGTACGAGCAGCAGGAGAACCTTGATGCTGGGGCTTTTGCAGGATATGGTCAGCAGGTAGGCTTCTAAATTTTATTGAATTTTTTTCCTTTTTTAAAATTTTTTTAGTGCTCTTGGCACTTTTTGTAAATGTATCTGTCCTTTACAATCAATTAAATATGCACAACCCTCTTAGTAATACAGTCTCGAACATGTTGGGCTATCTGCAGTTTTCTCATCCTCTGGACTACGGCGAGAGGTTTGCCCACTGCTCGTACCCCCCCAGCCCGCCGTTGTCCTCCTATTTCAGCTCAGGGCCAGAGGCCTCCTGCTACGGCAGCCTCCCCAACAGCCACCTCAACAGGGTACGTCTAAAAAAAAAAAATCCCTTTTTCTCGCTGAGTTATTGATCACTTGTAAGCACGAGTTTATTTGATGCTGCGCTGTGAGAGCCTTTGTTGGACTAATGTAGGTTGTTTGTCCTCAGGCTGTTGGAATGCCTCCTGTGAGCCACAGCACCAGCTTTCCTCCTGGCCTGGGAAATGTTATGAAGGTAACTAACAGACCATCTTAGTCACTTGTCAGTGCCAACATGCAACATCTGTTCCTCATCAATCTTTTAAAACATTTTTTTTTTTTTTTTTTAAACCCATAGACGCCCATCGGGGGCCACAAGCGCGTGCTTTCCCGGTTGATCCCGTCTCCGGAGCCCAGCCCTGAGGGTGGCTACGTGGGCCAGCACTCCCAGGGCCTGGGAGGCCACTACGCCGACTCCTACCTGAAGCGTAAGCGTATATTCTGAACCCCGGCTAGACGCCTCTCTCCATAAGGGTAGCCATTCAACAGCCAGGACGCAGTGGAGTCTCCCCCAAAGGGCTCTAAGCCCGGCGGCGGGGCAGGGGGGGGGCCTCGGATTAGAACCCCCGGGTCACTAGTAAAGCCTGCTGCTGTCTGTTGTCACTGCAAGGGAATTCTGTGTGTATATTGTGTTTTTTTTTTTTTCTTTTCTTTTTTGTGTGTATTTTGTTTACTGTGCTTTGTAAATTAAGTTTTTACTTTTTTTAAAAATTCCCTGTTAAACTTGTACAGTGTGGAAAAAAGATGAAGTAGCTAATAAGTCTTTCCTTTTTATGCTTTTTTTCCTTTTTTTCTTTTTTTTTCCTTCGCCTATCCCTGTTTTGAGTGTGGTGTCGACGGATCTCCGGATGGTTTGGCCAGTCAGTGGCAGCCACATGCTGCTTTTTTATTATGGTTGACATTTCCTAACTTAATGTAAAAAGTTCAGTTGATTGTTTTTGCGATGGTGTTTTTGTTTCCTCCTTCTTACCACGGGGTTGTATATTTTGCTGTTAGACCATTTCTGGGTTCAGTTTATTTCCCGTTGCTTTTCCATCCATGACGATAGGTGTATATACCTAAACAGTGTATGATAAGGCAAAGCTTTTTTTTTTTTTTTTATTGAAATCATTCTGGGAAGTTTTCTGGAGCATTAACTTTTTTTTTTACATGTTGTATTATGATGCACACCCACCAACCTGAACATTTTTTAATTTATTTATTTTAATTTCTTGATGGATGCTGTTCCACTGCACCGGTTGTATGATGACACACTTGGAAGATTCAGTTCACAATCCATGTCTGTTGACGCCTGTAAAAGATGCCATTTCAAGAGTCCTCTCACTCAAAAACTTTTTTTCTGGTTACCGTTTTGTTAAATTGTTTGTTTTCTTTTTTTCCCCCCCTCCTCCTTTTGTTGCCGGTTGTGGTTAAAGCCAGACGCCAGGCCTTGTTGGCAGAGCCGGGCGATTGGCTCGGCGCTCTCGCTCTGTGACAGCTGCCACCTCTCAGTAAAGACGCTCACGTTTTTGGGCCTGAATTAGCTCCTCCACATGTGTTCATGTGGCTCTAATGATGAGCAGAGCCCAGGTTTGAATCATCTCCAGTAATGAGGGGCGCCGGCCGGGCCTGTCTGGGGACACGCTGATGGAAGCTGGTGGCGGGCGATTGATCAGACACGGCTGTCCATGTCTTCCCCCCATTTTTTTTATTTTTCTTTTAATAAGTGGTTGACAGTTTGATTGTGAAAACTCATTACCTCTGACTTCTGCTACAGAAAGCAGCTACACTTGAGCCTTAAGGATGTTTTGTGGTATCATCCTGCCCTGTTTTGGCTTCCATCTGCATTTATCATTTCAGTGTTATTTGCTGTGTAAATAGTTGAAGATTGATACCCCCCCTTTTTTTTTTTTGAAGTCCAAAACTTTTTGTTTTCTTGACCTATCTGCCCCACGGTTGTGTGTTTTGAAGGATAAATGCTGCTCATTGTTCTCGTTTCTTCCTGTATGTCTGACAGCTGATGTTTCAGAGTGACACCACAGCAGACTGCTCATGTTGTGTATGGACCGCCAGATGCAGCCGGTCACTACGCTCGGCATTCACTGACTACTGTCCTCTCATCTGTACCACCATGATTGTCTCTGTATGCGTGTGTGTGATGTGCGCAAGTAAATGTTATTTAAATTCTTTTTTTTTTTTTTCTTCTTTATTGTGAATTTGCTCAAACGAGCTACAGACTTATTTTAGACCACGCCTTCACTTATAGCTGTTTGAATAGACACTTATCAGGGTTTAATGTGGGTGTAACCCTGTTTGACCTAAATGTCGATCATATTTAGCTTAATTTATGTTTTGGTAGAAGAGAAGGATTCCAGTGCTATGAAAAAACAAACAAACCCAGATGTAGGGAATTAAAGGGACACTAAGCAACTCCTACATTTGAAGTGTATTATAAGCGTAAAGGGGCTATTAATGTTTTTATGAGGTACGCAGCTTTAAACTATGAATTATCTAAACGGTTGCCAAAGGTGGACTAGATAAATTATGAACCAGAGATGTGGTTTTTCAATAAGAAAGCGACCATAAGGATGACGTTTCTCCACAAGTTTTTTTTTTTTTTTTTTTTTTGATGACATGGTAAAAGTCGAGGCCAGAAAAGGCAAGATGCGTCAAAAGCGTTCAGCAGTCAATTTTGAGTCTGACCCAAAAGCTAAAAGTCCTCTTTAGTGGATGCATGATGAAATAAAGAAGCCTCAAAGCTCAAAAAATGGTAGTAGTGTTTTATGGTGTGCACACTGTAGCGCTTAATAATTGATGAGCAAACCTACATCGCTTGCTGTTAAAGTGCCTCTGCTGTGCACCTTTTTGCAAAACATGTCTCAGGTGGTTCTAATAGCTCTATCAGGGCTTCTCTGCTTTGAATATGACCTGTTTGAATGTTAAGCAGCTTGCTTCTGGGAGGATAATTTCAGCTTCCCGGCTAGATAATTATTTCACAACAAATTTGGTAATCAGCCGTAAAAGCTGACAACAGTCTGCTCTCAATAGTAACGTGATAAGAAAGAAAAATCCCATCTGTCAAACGGAGAGGTGACTCCGAACACATTTGTGATTAGACTGCCTGATGACATTCAGATTTGATTAAAGGGGGGAAAAACCCAAAAAACAAAAGCAGGAAGATGGCTTTAAATGTCAGACCTGTCTGGTACGCCATGCAGTCTGGGAGTGATGGAAGGCCAGTTGAGATTCTATCAGATGGCCCCAAAAAAAGCTTTAAGCTGAGTCTGGGTGACTGTCAGAAGGTTGTAGTCATCCCTTTAGACAGAAGTCCCTTATCATTCAGACGGAGGTGCTAAGAAGCTAAAGGTAGTGCTCTTCATCTCTGCAGCCATCAGGACCAAAGGGTTGGATTCCTTTTATTCTTGCTGAGCCTCCAGGAGCAGAAAAGCTGATGGAGGCCTTCCTCTATAAGCAAAACCATATGAAACTCCCCCTTTTTTAGAAAAAAAAATCACTGATGGGATGCTGGGTTATTGTGTGTGTGTGTGTGTCATGCTATGGGCTTTGAGAAATAAAGGAGGGTGAACAGTAAAAAAAAAAATATTTTCAACATCAATCTGTAAGGGAGAATTGGAAACATTATGAAGACATTTTTCAGATCTACTGCTACTATATTAACGTGTTTTTTCCCAGCTCCCGGGTTTATATCCTGTAATATTTATTTTTAATGCTTCTGGCACCCCTGGATTGTTTCTCATACCTGCAGCCAGTCTACCCAGAGTTCTCAGAGGGATACAGCCAGGCTCTGCGGACGGTGTGTCAGACACATTTAGATTTCTGCTTTTCATTTTTCCACCCACACAGTTACCCTGCGCAGTTGCTGGTGAATGCTGCTGAAACCTGTGATTTTTCCTTTTTTTTTTTTTTTTCTCTTCCAAAATACATGGTGGAAGAAGGCAGAGCTCTGAAGGCAAATCACTGCAACATCGTTTATCACAAGTGATGGGGATAAAATACCAGAGCGGATGTTTTTTCATGAGCCGATGTGTGCTCTCGAAAACAAAAAAACGCCACTGCCTTCGACTTCATGACCAGTCTGCAGTGCATATAAATGAGTGTGTTAAGAAATAAACCAAGTATTGCGCCTGCTTTAAAGAGCCTCGCTGAAATCACATGCAAAACGTTTTAATTGCAGTTTTTTTTCCGTACAGCGGCAACAAAGTGTAGCCATATAAGGTATGTCATAAGAGCTGTTTATAGCAGGATTAGTCATAGAAAACAGCCCACTCCCCCAGTGACAAACAGTCCATAAAACAGAAGAACATCTCAGCAAACCAGAAGAAAGCTGGTAGCCTGTGTGTCCCTGAATTCGGAGGCAGGAGAGAGCCGCTCGGTTTGAACGATGCCATTGCTAACAAACCCAAACCAGATTAGAATATTGTGGGGATTTAACTTCCAAGCCCCAAGACATCCCCTCATTCCCCTGAAATAAGCTTGGCTATTGTTACCCTTTTCATTTTCATCTCCTCCACTCCTTCCTTTGTGTAACTGTGTATCACAGTGGCCCCACAAAATTAGATAACCACTTTTGGTTATGAGAAATAAAAGCAATGTCCTTAAAGCCGTGTTGTAGTGTTAAGCTAGTGTCTGGAAATAAAACACTTGAAGTAAGAAAAGATGAAGATGCTCCAAATGAAATGCTTTGTTCTGCACACTCCAAGGTCCTTCTCATTGTTTCAATCTTTATTAAACGTTCTGACGCCGTCCACTGGCCATTTGCGTCTTTCCACCACACCGTAAACGTTCATTTCTTAAAGTAGCCTCCGTCCTTCTTTCTTGCTGAATCATAAGCCCTTAACTGCATCATTCTGTTCAAAACGAATGGCCTACTTTTGTGCTGAAGCTTTTTGTTTATTCGCCTGCTGCCATTAGTGTCTTCCTTCTTCACTACCCAGCCACAGCTGTCTGTTTTAGACCTGAGATGCTTTTTTTATTTTTATTTTGTGCAACTGAATTCCTTCCTTCCTTAAATGTTACAGCATCTGGAGGTACACAAATGTTTGAGGGAAATCAAATTGTTTTGACTGCACGCAATGGCTTTGTTCAAGATTCTTCCCTTTGAATCACCAAGAGGGTCTACAGGCAAAAGCAATCTGCTGTTTTTATAGGAATCCTTTTTATCTCTTATCTCAAATGACGCCTAGTGAAGGCACTGTTGACATATGGCTGCTTTGTGGGCCGTCCCCCCCCCCTCCAACACCTGAATTCTGGCATGTTCCATATCCTTTTATCATCCCGTACATCTGCAAACACAACCTTGGGCGCACGCATGCAGATGCGAACATATGTGCCGGACTATCGCTCTCCTTCAGGAAAGAATTGAGGATGAATATTTCATGGCCCCTCGCTGGCTGGGAGTGGATCTATTGCCCGGCGTTCCCTGATGCCCGACGAGGGCCAGAGGCCAGACAGGCTGATGACAGTCTTCCTGGACATGCAGGACTGGCTGCCTTTGGTAATTGGCCCTTAGCTGTAGAAACGAAATTACCCTCAAGTTAAGTTTCAACTGCTTTTTAAAAAAAAAATACATGTACTCCTGTACACACACGCTCCTACCAGCTGACATTAAATTCAAAAGAGGGGGAATACATGATGTGTTCCCGAAGCATGCTCAACCGTCTCTTCCATGTGGACTGAGTAAGTACGACTGCTTGGCATTTCAATTATTCCTCACAATATGAATGTATAACATGGAGAGCCATTTGACGAGGTTGGTCATAATAAATCAGAGGCTCAGTAAATGAGGTGCACAGCTGACTCAGCCAAGAGAGGCATTTTAGTTTTTTTTCCACACCCCATCGAAACACTCCACTCTGCAGGGTGGTCCATGGCCATTTTGTCCTCCACTCTGTCCCTCTTCCATTACTCCTATTTTAACTCAGAAAACGTCGAAAACTGTTGACGTGTCGCACAGGAAGCACGATACCTGGACAGCCTCTCCTTTTGTTCGACTGAGGTCTTCTCTAGATAAAGTTTATCTTCTCGGTCTGCAGTAATTTAAAAGAGAACTGAGGGAGTCTTTGATGGCTCGGTTAAGTCTGATAAAGCTGCCAAATCACGTATTTAATACGGGAGACAGAGTTCTTCAGACAGGAATTCCATTTATTTTAAAAAATCTTTCCGAGAGAAGCAATTTTCCTCTCACTGATTCTAACAAGTCCTCAGTTGCACTTTTAGTGCCTGTTTGATCTTTTCCTGAGCACCAATGATATTTTTAATTCATGTTTTAGCAGCTTAAATTTGGAAAAAACGTGTTTTTCGCAGACTTTTTCTTGTGTCCAGTTCCAGCTTGCGTTTTCTCTTTTTCACTCTGGTTTGATTTGTAAAGGACAGCCAGACAATCTTCTCTAAAGGAAAGAGAACTGGATGTACTTTTGCCCAGCCTCCCCGAGACTAAGAGGACATTCAGTGTTGGAGCTCTGTGGCCGCGCTATTCTGTTTTTGTAGCAGGGAGCACAGCACCAAAATGAACAACATTAGACCTTGGAGCAAGATGAACTGTCAGGTGGAGATTTGGCTGGAAACATGCACAACGGACGCGATGACTGGAGGGAAACATAAATAATTTTGTATGGGTTGGTGAATATTGTGTTACATTTCCAGGATTCCTTCTGTGCTCAGAGCTACAGTTGCAGGTCCAGGTCATTTCCAACATGAATTTCCTCGAAGCATTTAATTGGGAGAAAGAGTGTCTTTGACTTCTATGTCATACATTTACATAAATTTCAAGAGTGTCTGGCTGTCATAATAAATTTGCATTCGGCAGCAGCAGACACTCGACAGCCTGACATTGTCAACCTTCCATATTTAACCCCATTTTCGAAAAATGCAAGAAAGACGTTGGACTGTGCTTTCCTTTGATTCCGCTGAGAAAACACTTCTAATATTAGCCTGCCCTGGCCTTTAAAGACACTGACAAAATGATTAATGCTCTTCTGTTCCACTGTGTGGCTTCGCGAGCTTCTGCAGCTCGGCCCCAACACCGGTGCAGCGACCACAATTTTCCAAACTAATCCAAACTTTCAGTTTTGCGGCCAGTTTTGTCACGACCAAGCTGTTGAGTCACCGTCTGAAAATGTCTTCCCGGTGGTTCCCTGGACGAGGCTTGAGGAGACTGACTCGCTGCTCTCTTTTTTTAAGGGAATCCTCAGACAATCTGGGATGATAAAATCGAGGGAGACGAGCACTGTGTCTGGATGTTCCACGCACACACACATCGTACACGTGTTCCACTTTTCATGCTAAATAATCATCAGCATAGATAAACATCTTTTCAGTCAGTAAGATCATCTGCAGAGTTCCCTGCCTTTAATCCTCTCCGACTTTTTTATTTTTTCATTGTTTGTGTTTAATTTTCCTCTACAATATGTTCTTATTATGTCTGTTTACCTGGAGCATATTGGTTTTAGAGTTTAATATCACAGCTCAGAGCAATATTTCTTCACATCAAACGCAAAAGACAGAAAGGCGGTGTTTTTTCTTCTCTCCTGAATGCAGTGTAACACAGCCAAAATAATGACTTAATTTAGGTCATGGCAGAGAGGGAGAGAAAGAAGACATGTGGACGCGAGGAAAATAGCTCCTTGGAGTGTCAGTTTGAAGGTAGTAATTACAGTATAGATAGAACTCCAAAGGCTCCGTTACCAGTGGTTTGCTCCTGATTTGTCTAAAGACCAGAAAAAAGCATGCAGGTTCCATTTGCAAAAATCTAGAAATATGTCCACAGAAGACAGGAAAATCTTTTGACATTTCAAGGAAGAGGAGATATAGATGTGTGAGTATTGTCCTCATTTATATTTCATATGAATCATCTGCCTCCCATTTCTCTGCCGATGCCCTTCCCTTCTGTTTGAATGTGCAAGAGTGGAGGCTTCACCTTTTGGGAGAAATGAGGGAATGCTTTCAGTGAACCCTGAGGAGAAGTTGGACTTGCAAGTAATTCTTCCTGACACCACTTCCCCGGTGCGGCTTTTTTCCTGCCGGAGAACTGCATGCAACACATCAAGCACAGCAGCGATGGGCAAGACAGTAGCAGACCTTCAACCAAAGTGTCCATCACAACTCACTGGATTTATGATTTGACTTATCAAAGTTATGACGGTTTTCCCTTTTTTTGGCATTGTGATCTGGTTTTCAGCTTTAAAGTGCATCTAGCTGCCAAAATGTTCTAAATCTAATCTGCCAGGGCCACAATTCATGGTGCATCCAAACATCTGTTCTTTTTTTTTTTTGCTTCTTAGCTATATCAGGGTAATCCAAGATGCATCGTTTCCAAGCAGATTTTTCTAACTCCTCTTCTTTGGAAATCTCAATGTTCCTCTTTTAAAAAAAGCTCTGTACTGTATCCAGTGAGCAGCCTGCATCCCCAATGGGAAATGTCTGAGGGGGGAAGCTGTGCCTTGACTCTAAAGTGCTCCCTAAACCCTGTTCTGTCTGATGTTTCATGGATGAGCAGGTGGTGAAATCTTTCCATGACATTTGATCTCAAAATAATTCAGGAAATGGTCCCAGGTGTGTACATGCTCACACGCTAAAGCTGCAAATCTTCCATTGTAATAAGGGCAAGACTAAGGTATGTCTGTCTGAGGAGGTTGGAGGGCTTTAGAGTTTCTTATTGCAATGTGACATATTCTACCTATAGCACAACCGGATCTTGATAATAGGCCTGATCAGAATTATTGATAAACTGTAACTGTTTTCTGTTTTTTTTTTCCCAAAAAAAGACACCCAAAATTAATAATTAAAAGAACAAATACAAACAGTGAAAAATTGCAAACGCTCACTTTTCTGTGTTTCCGCATTGTGATTAATCAATAAATAATGGATTTTGCATATGAAAAGGGGTAAGCCCAAAAGCTACGAGGCAGTTTGCCAAAGATATCTAAATCCCTGTTCTGACAATTTCTCACACAATTCGCCGGTCAGCCCAAAGTGCTGCAGGTTGAAGGCAAAGTGGACACCACAGAAAAAAAACAAAAAGCCACAAGGACACAAGAACGTTTTCCAACATACTGCCCGACATGAGGCAGAATTTCAGACAAGCTGAGGGGCTTTCATTTGTACATTTCAAAGAGAGTGAAATAGTGCCAGAAAGTACCAGCACCCCCCCCCCCCATCAGCTTGTGCAGGCTCATGGTGGGGGTCGGATGGAGGAGAATTTTCTCTGCAATCTCCTGGTTCCCCTTCAACTTTGCAACCCATTCCTCTTATCAGGCTCTGAATGAGTTGAACCAAAATATAATTCAAACTGTTTAATTTGACTGGATTATTATTGCATTACAACGCATAACTGGCTTGAAAGAACATTTGTTAGCAAAAGTTTTTTTTTTAGTTCTTTTTATCAGATACTCAGCAGACTTAAGTGTGCAGGGCAAAGTCTGCAAAGTAAATGTTTTTGAAAAATAATAAATTCACATTCACGGTCAAAATGAAGTAAGGTGTTTTCAATCTTCCAGATTAAAATGAATAAGATGTTTTGCAGTGGACATTGATGTTTCTATCACATTCATATGTGACAGTGGCTGCAATAAGAGGAGATGGCTGGCAGTCATTTAATTTACATGAATTACAGCAAACGTGCTGAAACGTGAAGGGGGATCAACAGACTAATCCTTTGCATGTGCAAATAATATAATTACTGAGGGCTTAATATCAGTAGTCGTGTTTGCAACACTGAAACATTCAGTGCTAACTTGTAGAATCCGATATGTAAATATGCTTCATTTAAGATTCACTGTCCATTCATACATATTAGATCATGTTAAGAAACTGACTGAGGACAGCAGACTGTTACTGGCAGGTGCTTTTACATTTGTCCACCATGGCCTGGGTGGAAATGAGACTTTTAATCAAAATGTGAGAACATCTATCGATACTGCCACTGCAAAGAGGCCAAAATGATCAGCATGGACTCAGCAGAAAGCCAAACCTTATAAAAAACAAAGGTAAAACACTGTAATTTGACATGTTAGCCCTGCTGCTGCACATCCAGCTCAAAGAACTGGATCAATTTGTTGTGTTTATTTGTCTGTGAGGGAAATGCGCAGTGAGCGTGGATGGGGCAAAACATAATGGATGAGCGCATAAAAGGAACAACCACCCATCCACCACAGAGCGAGGAGAGGGAGGGAGAGGGAGGGCACAGCGTGAGGAAGCCGATGCTCGTCGTCGAACTCCAGCAAATGTGAGGATGGGGAGACAATTTGCTGGACTGGGCAGGATGACTGGACCTCTGAAACTATCCATTTCAATGATTTCCTGGAGCATTCTAACTAAATGAAAAGAAAAAAACAAACAAAAAAAACCCCCAAAACAGAGAGACATTTTTTGCCGCAAAATCCTAGGATTGCACCTAGTTTTTGGACAATTCTTCACATCATCAGGATTTTCTGAAGGAGGGTATAACGAGTCGAGTTTTGATGTCTCACAAAAACTATTGAATCTGTCTTCTTCGTGGTGGGATTGTGCGCTTTATGTCTGCACCATGGCATGCAGCTCCAAATAAGCCGTGATAGATTGAGTACTTTTATGGAAATTGCTTGGAGATCTCGGCTCAACGGAAAGACACACGGACAGCAATAACAGCGCGCGCGGAGAGGAGCCAGCGCTCTGCAATAAGTGGCTGATAAAAAGCAATAAATTCTGTAGAATAAATATAGTCATCCGGCTGTGCGCCATGGGCGATGAGGCGTCAAACTTCAGGAGAAGCAGCAGGACAGGTGTCTCATCACCCAAACCACGGACCGGCGAGGATCACGGCAGAAGGGAGATTCTGGAATAAACCGAAACTGATTGGCCCCGAAAACAATGAGAGTAATTATCTTTGGATGACTTGTCAGGTTATCACTGTGACAGTTTTTGATGTTCTTCAGAAAACAACGTTCAGATCGGGGCTGCTGGACTTGGTCAGTTTGATTTGTTCGTTCAGAGATCAAGTGACAGAGAGGGACATGAAACGTTTTGTGTTGTGCTTGAAATAAACGAATACAGCCATAACATTTCACCAGTCAGTTAAAAAGGGATCTTTATTTTTTTGCACAATGATGGAACCACCACCATGTTCGAAGAAGAGCCTGTCCCTGTCGCTCCCGGTTCCCCGGGAAGGACAGGCGACTCTGAAACCGCCTCAGCATCTTTGGAGACAACCTCGGACCCCGATCAAAATCAAACACCGGGGATACTCCGACACCGACCGACACCACCACCGGCACATGGAGCGCTCCGACGCTATGGATACGAGTGACCGACCGGGACTAAAAAAGTCTCGGATGTCCTGGCCGTCATCCTTTCACGGGACCACAAACACATCCATCGGGAATTGTGTCGGGAATAAACGGTAGGCGAGTGAGTGGTGCGCATTCCAAAGATCCCAATAATAGCCCATGGCAGCCCACTAGGCATATGCGTAAACGGGGGAGGGGTACGGGGCATTTTAATGAGTGCGTAATAACGCAGTGTGCCTCAAGGGTTAACAGATATGTTGGGCTTTGTATCGGGAGGCGGGACGCGTGGGTTTTTTCGGTGCTGATTCTTTTGGATAGACTGTCAGACGTGTATGAAGCGCGCACCAGCCCGCCCACTCCGAATGCAGGAGCAACATCTGTAGCGACCAGCAACTGTTTTAAGAGCCTCCACATGTTACATGTAGTGGTTGATGAGTAACACGAGGAGCAGTTCTCTTAATGGCACTAAGGGTCTGGTGGGTGCGCTCGTGCGTGCAAGGCTGAGATACTGCCATTGTGCGCACTCCAGGCCTGTTTTGGATCAGTGGGTGGATGACCAAAAGTACCCTGAAAGTGCAGTGCTGAATAACCCACCTCTGACCGGAATCAAGGGGCTGCAAATAAATGAGAAAAACTAACTATTGAATGAGCTAGACTCAGATTCCCAAGTCTCTTGTGGTTTTTAAAAAGAAGAGGTAAAATAGTCCCCCTTTACATGGACTTTTGTCTCAGTAATGGCACACAGATGGTTTCAGACGTCTAATTAGCACACATGGTTGCTCTCTGATCGGATGTGACAGTAAAGTATTCATTGAGATAGAGAGAGGACACTGAGCGTAGCTGCAGACCAACAGTAGAATTATATTTTACTTAAACCCTATGTGGGGAAAGCTCTGCCAGCTTTTAAATTGAATTATAGGATGCATTTTAACCAGATTTGATCAAAGGCTTTTCATCAAGTGAGTCATGGAAGGATATAAATTTGAAACAAGTACTTTGTCCTTACTCAACAATAGCTTTGTTTTGATCTTTTCAATGAGGCAACATGACTGCAGCTAGGTTGTGTTTTTCCCAGTTAAGCAGGCATTTTTAACACAAGAATTGACAGTCTTTTCAACATAGGTTATGTTTTGTTATATGTGACTCATTCATGTGATCTCTGTTTAGGGTTAAGTAGATTGCTGGTTTTCACTTTAGTCCCTTTTCCAGTCAATCCTTAGTGTAATCCAAAATCCCCAGATGTTCCTTCCAAATGAAAGAGCTAGTTTACATTATTGAACTCCGTTTGACTCTCAAAATATCCCCCTCATCCTCTCCAAAATACAGATGAAGCTCAAATGTTAATACACATCATGTTAACACACGTCAGACAGGATGGTGGTGAGTGTAATAGCATACCCCTTAAGGTGTGGAGAGGGGCCTTCACAGGAAAAGATGGCTACAGATATAATTTTTTCATTTACGCCTCTTATCATTTGTTTGCCTTTTTTTTAATGCCACAGACAGCCATGCTGACAGGCCACTGGGAGAGGGGCCAACTCCAGCTGACTGGAGGAAAGGCTGCTGATTTGTATTTCAGACCCCAGGACACGCACTGAGGCAGTCCAATCTTTAGTGCATTGGGACTGAATCTGCCTGGCCCTCTCCTTCTGTGGGCGGCGAGAGAGAGTGAGAGAGAGAGAGAGAGAGAGAGAGAGAGAGAGATAATTTGATTCCAACAAGCTCAGATCTTAGGACACACCAAGCTGGCTCCAACTGTGCGTGCGCATGTGTGTGTTTGCGTGTACCTTAGCACATCCGTGAGGGGATGTGTGCGGTCCGTGGGTGTTTGTGCTACACACTGGTCAGGAAGGCGGGCGCACGGAGGGATGGAGGCTGTTGAAGGGAGTAGTGTTGAAATGCAGCCTGCTCAGTGTGAGTTCGTGTGTGGAGCAATGTATACAAGTACGTGCGGTTTGGTTGCTGTCTGACCCGTAGCCCATACAGTTTACAGAAGGTCTTGCTCTATTTCGTTACATTTCCCCGTGAGGCCAGAGGAACTTCCACTGCGTTGATATATTTACATTCCTGTGACAAATTGCAACAAGGTGAATCCTGCCTCTTTGCTTATTTTCTATATAGGGATGCTTTGAGGAGATGCCTCATCTCTGCTTCATATTTCATCAGGCTTAATGAACATCTTTGTTGATGCAGCAGCTCTGTGTATTTAGCTCAAGGCTAACTTGCCTCTGCAAGGAAGTTCAGCGAGAGTCAACAAGAAACCTTCTGAATGTGTATGTTGGGATGTACACAGTGAAAAATATATAATCCTTTCAGCCTTGGATGCAATAGCAACACATGGACAATAACTCATGATAAAAGCTTAAACAGCACTCACTTGAAAAGCCCACCACGCACTTATCATTGACAGTTTGAGGCAAAACAATTCAATAGTCTCACGCTGAAAAGATTTTGTTTTGTTTAATTTGAATTCCAATTTTTTCCACTTTGCTAAAAGCGTATTTTTCCTTTACAATGACATATAAAGTAAGACCTACTTCATTAGCCGGCAAACACAGAGTGACTACGAGCAGTGGAGAGTAGAAAAAAATAATTGATCTTTGATTGGAGGAGCACGGCTTGACCCGGCGTGTGACCTTTGTGCTACACAGAAGCAGACCGTTCAATCACAGAGGAGTTGGTCAAGACCTCATCTCGATGCTTTGAAAGATCAATCAGCCAAAGACCTGCTGGAAAAGTCCCAGACAAGGTGCGGAGGAGAACAGATTGATCGTGTAACTTAAATGGATAACCTTTGATTAAAAAAAACAAGCCATTCCCAGCAGTCGGGAGTTTAGAAAGGAAAACTGCGAAAGAAGGATTCTGCGGGCTCGTTTGCGTTCAGCTGTTTGAAGAATCTCTGTCTGCTGCTGTTTTCACATGCCTATCTTTGTGCATGTGATATATTCTACAAAATGGCAGTCTTAGTGGCAATCAACATCCCCCCCAAGGGTGTCAGTCTGCCTCCTCCTCCTGTTCTTAATGCGTTTTGTTCAACTATTGTCAGTCAGTTTGTCAGAGGGTGTTAATATGTGTGGATCAGTCATCAGGTCCCATGCCCAATACTCTCTGGGAAGTTTTAGCACCAAAATGAATGACTGACATTGAAGGAGTAGCAGCTCTTCCCACAAATCTGTTGCTATGGTTACTTGTTTTGTGCTTTTGTAGATTGCATTTACCTAAAAAAGGCAAAGCCTACAGGCACTTGATGGGCTCTACTGTATCGCATGTCAGTGTGTAGCAGATCTCCCTGGATATGCACGACGACTTGTGTGCTTTCAAGGTGAAAAAGAGAATATTAATGCAGAAGAAGAGATGTCTTCAGACTCTTTAATCGCAGCAGAGAGATGGTTCTGTGTTCCGTCATCTCCAACTATTTCAAACCAAAGCCTTCTTCGATTCCTCACCAACCACCTCATGCATTCTTTACACCTTTTCCCCCACAAGCTAGAGATCCAGGGCAAATTTGTAAGCTTGGACTGCTCTTTTCCCCGCCTGACTGGCTACATGCCATAATAATTTAGCACATAATGAGGTACAGCTCCAGCTAATTATCACAGCAGCGGCATTTTGTTGTTGTTTAATATTTACATTTAGAGAAACAAAATTTCTCATACTGTGGATGTACAGGTATTTTCCCAATAAATGTGATTTAATAGGGCTAAGTAATGGATCTCATATCTCATTTGTCTGGTGAAACCATCTGTTTAAGCACCAGATTGTGCTCCTCTGTGAAAACATCATGCCTTCTCTTTACTCTCGGCACTAATTGGTATCTGGAGGCAGTTCATGTACCGGAACACTGCTCACTATTGGCTGGCTCGAACAGATCCTGGAAACCTCAGGTAAAATCCCTCAAAGCTCTTTTAGCAATGACACCCAACACGTGTGTGCTGGAGGGTAGTGTTCCCGGCCCTTATCTAATGCCCCCTCTTTCTGCTTCATGTCCTCTCAATATTTTGTCTGACTGCAGTCTGTCAAAGATACTGCTACACACATTTACACATGCAGTTTGCTTTGTCTCTCCAGTGAAAACATTGGCATTGACGCCTTGTAATTAATTTCCCACTAGTTCTACTTAAAGTGGAGATACAGTGGTCTTTTTTTAACTCATGATTATGGGCAGCGATCCCGGTAAGAGGAAACAAAGTGGGCCACAGCATGCTGCACAACAAGCACAACAAGTCCTCTTCTTTACCTACAATTATCTCTCCGTGTAAGGCAGCTCGACTGCTTTCGTTTGGTCTATAAGAAGCCCAACTCCATCCTTCCCTCTCATACCCAGTTCCATTAAACTGCCTTTATTGAACTTTCTGCCACAGCTTATTATGTGTCAATTTTCTCTGCTTCAGTTAAAATGTCCATTGTGATTGCGATAAGCCTCCTGCCGGCCATTTGTAATGCATTTTTCTTATCTAGTTATAATGTTTGATTCAGTCTTTTGTCCATAGAAATCACAGTCTTTGATTGTTGCATGTCTCTTATTGAACCTCGATCCTCTCTGTGCTCCGTTTCACCTCAGTGTGTAAATGGAGTGTATTGATTTAATCTCTATTTCTGTTCTCTGCTTTGTCTCTCCACTGCGTGGCCGTCTCGCTGGGTCCTGCAGCTTGGAAGATGCTTTCTGATAGCCTTGTTCTTGCTTACAGCGATATTAAGCACACTATCGTGAATCCATCATTTCATCCCACTCTCCCTTTCTCGTCCGCTGACATCATCAGCGCCTTGCAGTGTCTCTCCCCCCACAAAGCCGTATCAGAATCTCAAACCTCACATCCCAGTGGAGAGACAGATAAACTGCCCACCACTGGCACTGTTCACAACCTCCCATACTGCTCTCTTTAAAGTTACTCTATACCGATCAACATTTCTGTTCCTCGTGCTCCGGTTGATTCCACACATCAAGAGCTTAACAGGAACAAACACCTTCATCACATGGCTGGAAATCAGCTACCATTAAAGAGGGAGTTCAAACAGACCTTCACTTCAAAGAAAAGTATTTTCCAGGGGAAAAAAATAAGTTTCTTTTTGGCTGAGATGAAAAAACATCTCACAAAATGTAAATGGCCTTCTCCTTGGATGCATTCTTATTTTGAAGGAATGTAAAGGTTATTAGGAGCAGCATTAGTATTCTAGACTTCAAGTCTATAGGTGTATTGAAAGGGGCTGTTTTGAAAAAAAAAAGTGATCAAATCACTCGCTTCAAACCAAGAAAAGCTTGATCCCTGCTGAGACTTGAGAGAACTGGATAGTCCAAATCTGTTTCATCTTATTGTAGGTCTCTCACCTCATAACAAATACCCCTGCCAGGTAGAGCTCAGCAAAGCTGATCCTCACTCTTTGTGCGAGGAGTTATAATGACATTGTTCTCCGGTGAGGGGAGAAGCCCCCTTCTTATCCTGTGACTGGACGAGGGCTGGGAGGGACAGTCCCTCCGTCAGCTGTGTGTGTCGGGGCAGCACACCCTCAGCCCGAAGAACAAACGGTCTACACCTGTCGAGCGTGTTAGACAATCGTAGGGTAAGTCAGGGGAGTGCGACGAGAGCCTAGTTCAAACGGGGACCCGCCGCAAACGAGAGCTGAAAAGGATGAAGACGAGCACATGGGGACCGCGCTCAATGCCGAGAGAGAGTCGTTCGAAAAACTTCACGCTTGTTCACCCGCCTGCTGATGCCGAGCCCCTCGACGGGGGTCTCTCTCTTCCAGACCTCCCGCCTTTGGACAGTGTTCTTGGCTCAGATTCCTGGCAGAGTGTCAGCTGGACCGGATCATTCTCAAAAGAGTTTGATTCCAAATTTAGAGTGGAGACAGATGGCATCAATAATGGCACCATGTCACAGGCGTGCATTTCCCATGAACACCACGACCCATCGCGGGTTTACGACAGAGGTTTTGAAAAATCCGGAAAGTCAGTCTTCACGTTCTTCCCGAGGGGCTTCTTCATCTGAGGGCAGTTCGACTGTACATCCCCTTATGCAACAAGGTCTGTGAAACACTGGAGAAGTTTACATAATGCATGAAGCTGCATATGATGAATGGTTAACTTAAGGTGTGGAAGACCCGTACACACCTCAGGAAAAAAAGAACAGGAAGGAGAAAAAAACAACACCGCCTGACCTCTGACACATCGAAAGGCTATACAACATGTCAAAGCGCTTCTTGCTGCTCGTGTTCATGTTCACACATTAAGGAGCAACATCCAGGATGTCGCAGGGCGGAGGCATAGGAGAGCGTGGCTGAAGGGCGTTGCGTGATGTTTCTATGCGATGCCACTTTTTAGTCTGAGTCCTTGACATTTTGAATATCGTGTGGTTTTTAGAATTTATTTTCTCAAGCTGGGTTGATAACACGCAGCCCTTAAGTCACACTCTTCGTTAGACAGTTTGGCCCGACTTGATGGGAATTCCAAAAGATGCTGATGCAACCTGGGACATGCGTTTTATCCCCGATAAAGGCGATGTAATTAAGACCAGCGAGGCCTTAGCTTTCTCTCTCTGTGTGTGTTTGTCTGCGCATCAAGGGCTTATTGTATGATTACTTGTGTGAATTGGGGGTTTTG